CGAATCATAATCATGAGACCAATATGTGTTATTATTATTTAATGACATCATTGTTATCTAACGGGGTATCAGTATTTTACACCTGCACATCTCAAACCCTGTGTGTCAGGGGCCCCAGAGGCTTATGTGGCCCCAAGACTTCTGATCTATTTGCTCCAGAGCTGCAATTCTCAGTGGACTGTTTTTTTAAGAATCCTAAACACATGGAGAGAAATGTAGAGATGATGGCACATGAGTATTTGTAATCTTAATTGTATATTGAATCTTACACGTGCACTGTTGCTCTTGAGGCAGTGATCCCACCATCACGTCATGCAGGTAGATGTTCTGTAGTAGTAGTTCCTTGTATTATAGATAGATTGATTATCCGCAGTACTAGAGGTGCAACGGTTCATCACTGATCCGTGATCCGTTCGGTTCAACGTCTTCGGTTCGGTACAGACGTTATCCGCGGTTTGATTTATGAAAAAAAAGTTGTGCGCACGTTGTTCAGTCCACACACAGCGCGGTCATTGCGAGCAGAGGAACGGAGGAGCTTGAAAGCCCTGCGTCATTTAAATCCCCAATATGAGAGCATTTTGGCTTCACTGTAACTACACTGATAATTAATATTCGACAAAACTGTCACGATGTGTAAGCACTGTGGCACAAGAAAGACATGAGTGAAAAAAGCGTCTCAACGACCACCTATTGTCGCGGCATTTAAGCAGCTCCTTTACGCACAGTCAGACCGGGCAGGGTTACCAGGTCCAAGAAAAATTTCCAGCCCAATGACCTCTCAAAACTCGACCAAAAAGTATGAAAACTAGCCCAATAATTAATTTCAGTTCAATTTAAATTTATTTATCAAATAAACATTCTGTTTGCCAAACAACATTGGCTGGTTTATTCTCCTTTCATCAGCTGCTGTATTGACACACAAAGACATAGGTGTCAGTCAAAAGTTTGTTTAAAAGAGTGTGTTTCATTACCTAGTACCTACCTAGATTAGTTAATTATCTTACATTTTCACTCTTCCTCTTATCCAGTTCTGCTGCAGCTCTCGTTGTGATGTGCTCGCATTTCACTCTTACAGAACTTGCAGAAAGCCTTTCTGTCATCATTTGGGACACTGCGTATCCACTCTTTTATGCCCCTTTCTGACTATATCCTATATCGTTTTTGGTACTTCCCCCATTTACCTGACATCGCACTGTTAGCTTCTTTTTTCCGCGTGCCTAAAAATGACCAAAATGACGGTCTTGATAGCTGACTGACTGGCTTCTTTGCCGCTGCACGTGCGGCCTCTGTCTTGCGTAGGGGGGCGTGCCGCGGCACCACTCAAAGGCTTGCGTGTGAGTGAGAGAGAGAGCGAGAGAGACGGGGAGGGTGGGGGTGGGGAAGGGGGGTGAGGGACAGTGCTGAGCTTTGAATGTGACGAATCTGATTGGGAAAAATAGATAAAATGACAGATAAAGTTGCGGCCGCGGACAGTTTAAAATCAGCCCAAGAAAACCGCAACCCGCAGCACAAGATTTTTTCCCGCAACGGCCAATTTAAAGTAGCCCAATTGTGCGGGAAAACCGCGGACCTGGCAACTCTGAGACCGGGCTAGAGTCAACTCTCCCGCGCATCCTCAGCTCAGCTCACGACTGACGCTTGGACGTCCCGCGGAACCTATAATAGATCCATGAGCAGAACCGCTCACTTCATCACTGCAGACTGGGAGATGAAAAGTCTGGCGCTGAAGACACGCCCCCTTTACGACAGTCACACTGTCACCCAGCGCAGGTACTGACACAAGCAGCGGAGGAATGGAAGACAAAGGCCCAGTACTAATATCCCAGTCACAACTGATAATGCCAAAAATTAAATAAACGCAGTGAATGAGGCTGGGCCCAGAATGGAGCGCCTCCTCGAATCAGGAAGGTGGTGTAATATATGAGAGTAAATATCCTCATAAAGTGCCTTCTTATGTTGCACTTTGTGTTGTTTTTCATTAATTATGTTAAATAGACATAATTGGATGGATGGAATATTCCATCCATCCATCCATCCATTTCCTTCCCCTTAATTCATTTCTAGGTCAGGGGGGGCAGTCAGAGCAGGTGCCGAGTCCACATGAGCTGTGTTTATTAAAAAGACAACACTTTTTTTTTGAAAAATGAACCGAAAAATGAACCGAACCGTGGCCTCTGAACCGAGGTACGAACCGAACCGTGATTTTTTCAAACCGTTGCACCCCTACGCAGTACACATTCAAAATAATTTCCCTGCATGTACGAAATGTAGTTTGTACTATGGTGTGGTACGACCAGGCTAATTCTGTGGAGCAGACCAGGAATAAACATATCACATTTATTTATTTATAAAGGACCTGCATTTTTATGCATTTTTATGTGTTTAGAGAACAGCATGACAATCTGTCTAAAGACTTGTTTGTTGCTAAGTATCTTTTCTAACACCTTCTCATCACATAAATCAAGCCAGGGATGTCGTTGAAATGAATAAATCAAAGAGTTAAAACATGTTGTTTATCCATGAGCTGAGAAAGGCAAACAGCCAAAAGAAAAGAACATAGGGTTTTGCCAAATTATGTAATTCAACATTGAGTGATAAGGAAAAGGAAAATAGATACCCATTATGCTAATTACAATCCAATCCAATCCAATCCACTTTATTTATATAGCACATTTTATAAAACACGTTTCCAAAGTGCTGCACAGATAAGAGCAACAGATTGAATTATACAAGTCTGCCAGCTTTAAATAAAAATAAAGTAAAGAACAAATAACGCCATTAACTATACATAAATAAACGTAAAACAATAAAATAAATAAATAAAATAAAATAGAGGACCACACAACTCACGCGGTGTTAAAAGCCAAATTCAAGTCCAGAAATTACATAATATATTTAAGACAAAAATCTGTGAAATGCAGCACACTGTTATTGATTGTTCAGTACACCATCAAGGACAGAGCTCCCTGGTTTGGGGTTACCCAGCATGTTATTGGTTCATACATTTGTGAGTGATCAGGCCTCTTACGTGTCACTATTCTCTATGGCACTAGCATTCATCTGTGCGACCTTTTCCCCAGCGCAAACATGCAGTGCTCACTCTCATTGTTTTGTGGATAAAACGGCTGAGTGAATAAGAGAGCCATTTCTGGACAAGTTATAGAACTTCATATATAAGCACTGCAAACATGTCCTTCACCTGCTTTTCAACTTCTCCTCAAGGACAAAATAAACTGACTAACAGATATATATTCCAATTATTCACTATATTGATACATATATTATTCATTTAATTTGAATAGTTCCAGTTAGCAACACTCATATTTGATGATATGACTATTGCCAAAGAATGAGTCATCTTAGCATTCAATTATTATCCTATTTTAAAGCACTGCAGTAACATGGTTTGTTGCTTTTCGATTGAAACACCAAATGAGCCTTAGCATTTTCCATGTGTCTCAGAAAACATGTACATCAGGTGTAAAACAAATTTAAAAAAGACAAAACAAAAACAGCTTTACTCAACTTTATATCACAAAGCACAATCTGTTTTCTCTGTGCAGAAATTGTTAACACTTAAAACACACTTTAGAACAGCTACAATAGAATGAATCAGTAGGCCAAACAGGCGATGCCAAGAAGTAATCTGTTCAAAGAAAAAACAATTCTAATATAATGTCTAATGTCATTAAAAATAAACCTTTGTAACAGCTAACCTCCTACTTTTTAGAGTCACCAGTTCAAGAACAAGATTAACCATTGAATTTAATTGTACAATGATACCAAGGTCCAACCGCAGTCAACCTCGACAAGACCCGGCCAATACAACAACTTGTAATTTATCTTTGATAATTGTCCTACATAATGTTTGTGATTCCGATGTTAGATTTTTTGGTGAAAACATAATTTCAGTCTAAGGAAGGTTTTATTAAAACTTGTGTTTTATGTTATACCTCATCAAGTATTGTCACTATTTAGATCTTTATATTCATATGTGTTGTAGAAGTGAGCTCAACCAAAGAATGGTTTAGCATCACTTTAGTGATTGTGAAAGAAGGACTTGGTCCAGAGGTACAGAGAGCCTCCTCTTTTACGTGGACCACAGCCTCTTCACTTGTGAGGCTGAAGTCTCCGCACACTGCTGTACAATCTTAAGTACTCTACATGAATAATTTGCTTCTCCTAGCTCTGCTGTAACCTCAGCGCTCTCTCCCCTCACCCACAATGAGATGTTATGCTGATTCAGGGGCAAGTCGCACAGCTGAAACAAAAGATGTTGTTGAAGGTCCTGATAAAATACTAGTTATAAAATATCAATTATACAAAATAATTGGCCCTACATGTATTTGCTAATTACAATTTTCAGTCCATAGGACATACAGTATAAACATCCTGGTAGAATGGTAGTTTGGAGGGAGGTGGGGGGTGATGAGAGTCCCATGGTGTAGTGACAGTTTTTCTTTCCATTTGAAAGCATGGCACAGATGGCCATTTCTGAGACTGCTGCACCTGTTTATATATAGCTCCTCAGAGAACAACTTGATAGAAGCGGAAAACAAAGTAAATCTGTCTGTTTGGCATCATTTTCGCTCCACTAGCACTTCAATTAGTATGTTTTGGGGAAATGGAATTAATAATTTGTTGTTACCTTCCAACTACCTTCTTAGTGAATTAAAATGAACGACTTATTATTCATTGATGAAGGTTAGACCTTGTGATCATTACAGTTTTACTGTATTTTCTTCTTCAACATGTGCATTGATAATGCAGATGTTGTTGCACTTTGAAGTACAACATTGTAGTAATAATAAGATAAAGTAACTTTCTTCATCCTTTGTAGTTAATTTTGTTGGGCTAACTTTCGCTTTCCTCCCAACAATCATGTGATCTATGCTGTGAGCTCTCAAGTTTTTTTCTTCCAGAAATAGGCATGCATTATATAGTTTCAATAGTCGTTTTGTCCTACTAACGTTCTTTCTATTACTCTATTTGTATTTCAGAACAAAGAATGGCTGTGCTTGAACTGCCAGACGCAGAGGGCCCTCTCAGGAAGTTTGGGAGATCTTCCAACATCTGTTCCTCAGCCGATGGGGTCGCCCCGACATCCTACACCAGCCATTCAACATCCACCTGCTCATCAAATCCCCAATCAGGCCACAGGGCTTAGGCCCACAGGTCCTCACCAACAGAAAGCTCCGGGTCACCAAGTAAGTGCCCCACAGACCAAGGGGTCCAGTCAAGTCAATCCTCAGAGTAAAACTTCTTCTCAATCAAAAACCCCCTCCTTGCCCCCCACCCAGACCAAGGGCACATCACAGTCTCCTAGCCAGACCAAAGGTACAATACAAACACCTACTCAGAGTAAGGGAACATCACAGTCTTCTGTTCAAAGTAAGGGCACTCCACAACCCTCTTCTCAAAGTAAGGCCCCTGTCCAAAATAAAGCTCAGCCCTCGTCCCAAGTAAAAGGCCCTGCTGCACTTAAAGGTCCAACAAAAGCCCCTGCTCAGCCTACAGGTACAAAAGCCTTCCCTGGCTCAGGGAAAGCTGCACCTCAGAAAACCTCTCCAGCTCCATCAAAAACACCGCACGCTCAGTCCAAAACAACAGGTAACAACCAAGTTCGCAAAACTGGCCAGGGCCAGGATAAACCTGCAAAGACCAGCTCTAAACCTGCAAAAGAAGATGTCAAGACTCCACCAAAAAAGACACCGGCAGAGCCTGACACTTCACGTAAAGACGCTAAGATTGACGAGGATTCACAGATGTCAAGACACCAAGTGAGCTACCGGCAACTTGTCACCTGTCGATTCATATTTTTCTTTTTTTTATTGTTTGTCTTTTTTATCGTCAGTGTGCTTTGGATTTTTTTTTTTTTTATCATCTGGGGCTTTTTTTGGGGGGCTTTTTTCATCCTTTTCATCATCAATGTTTTTGTTGTCTTCAATCAAAAATGTCCTGTGACTTCACGTGATGACTTTTAAAGCATTCATAGCATGGGCACATTTCAAAGATATGATGGTGAATGCATGCACAAAATAAGAGACCACTTAAAGGTGAACTCAGTCTTGGCAAAGGAAAAATATGCCTCTCTTTTCATGAAACAACGTTAAGCAAGTCACAATTTGTGTCTTTGATTTTACATTGAAGTAGTTTTTAAATCATTTTATCATAACACATGTGGATAAGTGGTTCTTACGTAACCTTTCATTTTTAAACACTTTGGCATTTTCTTGTGGGCGGGGATTATCTGGGTGCAGAAATAGGTGCTGGGGACCATGTTGTCTAATGTAAGCCACAGATATAATTAAAATATATTCTCTAAAACACCTACTACACAAAAAACTTTGTTTAGTCTGAATATATCACAGTTTGGACACAGAATGAGCGGCATATTGCTCTTTTAGGGATTGTCTCCAAAATCAAGTCTGAAAAGCTACTGATACCCCAAATACCAATTATTGCAGAGCTCATTCAAAAGAGACCCCCGTTTTCAATTGAAACAGTATTCAAAATGGTGCCATTTTTTCAATTATCATTGGTGAAATGTGAAGCAGAGTAACAGGAAAGATTGCCTGTTCACTGGTGCAAAATTCTGGCACAGCACAAAGCTTGGGTTTTTGGGCTCAACCCCCATTCTTATTTTTCACTTTATATGCATGAAACTGTATATATGGACTGGATATCTTGGAGTCATTGCTGAAAGGTTTTGAGCAATGAATAAAAGGACACTGATGGTGAATACTCAATATTAACACATGCCAAAACAAAGCGACAAACTGCACATAGTTGATCAAAGCTTTGATTGGGGCAATTCTGTTCCTAAACTGTGTTATAATTATTATCTGTATTTTGAAACAGTAACATTTTCTAACAGCCAAAACAGGGTGAGGTGTGGACAGAGGTGTGAACAGGGTGTCAGATGGACAGAGATAGAAGCATGGGTAATAGCAAATTTAGCTTGCCTTTTGTGAAGCATAAAGTTTATATATTGAATTGTCCTTTTATTCAAGATTATATGCAAGATTTCTAACTGACAAGGTTATAGTAAACTTTTCAAACTGGCTATTTGTTAACAAGTAGAAATCAGAAAGACAGACCTCCTACTAAATCTCCTACGTTTTTTTTTTAGAATGTTCCACAACTCACCTCACTACACTAATCCTTATGTCCATCCAGAAACATCATAATAAAGACATTTTGTGGATGAAACAATTCAACTTTAACAGCATTGCTAATAAGTAGCTCCTGCTTTCTGCATCTAGTTAAACACTGCCAACTGCCTATTGTTTCCTGTAATTTATTATAAAATGTATTTTAAATAAGGGACACTAAACCTATACAACATAAAGTAATTATTGTTGTATTATTTCATGAATTCTGATCATTATCCAGTATCAGATAAAGAGCAACTGATCTATGAAATGAACAGATGTTTTTTTCCCCACCATATTTGTTTGTTTTTTCTCACATGTATTTGTTTTTCTTTTTTCAGGACTACACCAAATCAAGTACGCAGAGTTTGAGTGACACTGGATACTCATCAGATGGCATCTCTGGTTCCTTGGGAGAAATCACGGGCCAGATCCAGGAGGAAAGCATTAAACTCAACGCCTCAGTTCCCTCAGATATCACAAAACTGGAGAGTTCTATGAAACCTCTGCTGGAGCCAGAGTTAAAGAACAGGCCCCACTCACTGTCTGTGGGAGACTACAGTCCAGAAGATGATGCAGCAAGAGATGAATCAGAAGATGACTTAAGCTGCAAACTTCGACATGATTATGTGGAAGACAGCAGTGAAAGTGGTCTCTCGCCATTACCAGTCAGACAGAAGAAGTCACACAAGGACCAAACAGATGAAGAATATATGAGGAGGCAAATCATGGAGATGAGTGCTGATGAAGAGGAAACAGATGAATATGGAGTACAGAAAACCAAAAGAATCCACAAAAGCAGTGCTGATCAGGGTAAAGAAAGACGAAAGTTATCACACCAGTCAAATAGCTTTGAAGATGACCCCAAGGCAGCAGAAGCTAGAACAGAAGAAGATGGTTTAATGGCTCAAGGTGGGCTCAGACGATTTAAGACTATTGAGCTCAATAATACAAACAGCTACAATAGAGATATAGAGCTTAGCACAGAGCATGACTTAAGGGAACCGGAGCTTGAAATGGAAAGTTTGACTGGTTCGCCAGAAGAAAGGTCCAAGGGGGACTATTCATCCACTCTGCCGGCTACTACACCCAGCTACAACTCTGGGACCTCCCCCACATCTGTATCATCGATGGAAGATGACAGTGACAGCAGTCCCAGTCGCAGAGCAAGATTAGAAGAAGCGAAGCAGCAGAGAAAGGCAAGACACCGCTCCCATGGGCCATTGCTCCCCACAATTGAAGACTCGTCGGAAGAAGATGAGCTTCGAGAGGAGGAGGAGCTTCTCAGGGAACAAGAACAAATGAGAGACTTAGAACAACAAAGAATCAGAAGTACAGCTCGGAAAGCCAAACGAGACAAGGAGGAGCTTAGGGCACAGAGACGCCGGGAAAGATCTAAAACTCCTCCAAGTAATCTTTCTCCAATTGAGGATGCATCCCCAACAGAGGAGCTCCGACAAGCTGCTGAGATGGAAGAACTTCACAGATCCTCATGTTCTGAATATTCCCCTTCAATGGACTCTGAGGCTGAGGGGTTCGAGGTGATTGCTGGAAAATTGTATAAATCTGGAAACGAGTACAACCTTCCCACTCTTACAGCACTCTACTCACCCACAGAAAAGACAGCAGTGTCACCATCAGATAAAACTCTCAAAAGTGCTGAAGAAGTGTATGAGGAGATGATGAGGAAAGCACAGCTGATGCAAAGACAAGGGCAAAATCTTCAGCAGAGAGGCAGTGAAAGCAAGTCCACTCTCGAACCTGGTGGTTCATTAACACCAGGGTCCAGTCCTACACAGATTGCAGCTCCAGTCTTATTCTCCTCCACAGACCCAAGAATTCCAGCCGCACACTTGTCAAAAGAGACACAAAACCGGATGATGACTCAAAGTGCCAAAATAGAAGGTGTTGTTGGGGTATCAACAACAAAAGCTCAACCTTCCACCACAAGACAAAGTGGTCCACAAAGAGCAGCACAGACAACACCTGATTCTGCCTCAACCTCCATCACTTCCAAAGTATTCTCACTTTTCAAAGGTCCTAGTCCTCCTATTTCCCCCACTACCTCCCCTGCCCAAAGCCCAACACATGTACCATCTTCCCGGCCTTCGAGTGGTAGACAATTGCCCTCAGTGCCAGGAGGCCCTTCAGCTGCTGCAACACAATCACCTCAAAGAGCAATGCCACCCAGGCTTTCCCGCCAACAGTCCTCTCAAGAGACACCGGTAATGGTTATAACACTGGCTTCTGAAACAACTAACTCTGCCAGGCCTCAGACTGTAAATTCGTCTACTTCCCCTTTGTCATCTCCAACACAAGCCAACTACAAAACATTATATAGCACTCATGTGCCACCACAAAGCTCATCTAAACATTCAGTAAATGTTGGTATCAGCACAATTAATCCAAATGCATCAAGTTCAATGGAAAACCTCTCAAATGGGGCATACTCAAGTTCAAGTGTGGTAGATTTAAGAGCTCCGTTAAGATCTGCTCCAATTATAATGACAGACCAAGGAATGGACTTGACATCTTTAGCCACTGACACAAGGCGATATTCTGGAGGAGTGGATCAGCCTTCTGGTCGACATACTGCAGTGCAGCCTCTTATTATGAATTTGAATTCACAAGAACAGCCGCATGTTTCAGTATCTACACCAACAACTGTTAGTGTCACTGTAGCTGGTGTTGTATTCATGTCACCATCAAAGACGCCAGTCATTTATGGAGATCCTTTACAAAATCGTGTTGACTTGGGGCATGGTGTTGGCTCAGCTGTGTGCTTGACTCAATGTAAACCAGCAATCACTGACCCATCTATTCCTAAAATTGACGCTTGCCTTGAGAATCTTGGTCTACAGCAACAGCAATTACAATTGCAGCAACAAAAACTCCTTCAACAGCAGCAACTTCTTGAACAACAACTTCAGCAACACCACCAGCAAGGTTCTTTTGCTCGCTATAATTTAGCTAATCAAGTACCACCTGTGATTATGAAGAAAGATCTTGTGGCTGGTCAAACAAGCAGTGCTCAACCTGTAGAGACAAGTGCCATAAATAGATCAACAATCCCACATTCAGTGTCTGGAGCTGTAACAACAGCTCCCAAAGACATGTACGGTGGGGTTGCCTTAGAACTAAAAAACAAGCCAACCGCAATTAACTTAACCACCGGAAAACCACATGTTATGATGGTCCAATTTGACGAAAGCCTTGCATCACAAACAACCACAGTTACTCAACTCATAAAGGCAGAGGAGCCTCCTCCCCAGGTCTTAGATCTAACGGGTCAGCTTAAACCAGAAAATCAAGCAGCTTGTTGTGATGTTGTTTATAAGTTACCTTTTGCTGGCTCCTGTTCAGGTTCCTTTGGGAAAAACACATCAGATGTAAATCCAACTGCTGAAGCTAACCAAGCCCCTAACCCTCAAACTCCACATTTAAGTTCATCCCAGTTACAACAAGTTTCAAAAGGAGTGACAGAAGAACACAAATCATATCAGGCCCCTGTACTCGCTTTGGCAAGAATTCAACCATCTATGTCAGATACTAACTTACCTTTAATGACAGATGGGAGTCAGTATCAGGGTAGGGTGCAGGGAGGTGCAGCAGTTCAGTGTGTGGGCATGAATCAACCATATGACGGTGGATATCTCGGTATGGGAGCACAATATGGCTCCTTCACTGACTTGCGTCAAGATTACTCAACCTCCTCCCTGCCGCTTCGCAGATATGGCTCCTTGTCTAATATCAGCTCTGATTATCAGTACAGTGCACAAAATCTTTCTGGCTCTCAGGATTCAAATCTTGCGCAGTATAGTGCAACCACTGCAAGAGAGATCAGTCGCATGTGCGCAGCTCTTAATACAGCAGACCACATGGGAAGATACAGACATAGCACTGAATTGGTCCCCTATGGAGGAGGAAGAGGTGGTTCTTTAGGAAGGCTAAATCTTCAGCAGAGTTTGGCATCAATTAGAGCCAGTTTATTATACGGGCCAGACGGAAGACCAACACCAAATAGTCAAGCGCTAACAAATTTGATTAATGCTAGACAAGCAAGCCTACGTGCAATGTATCCGCCAGCTGTAAGAGGTGGTGATGGCATGATATATTCTACCATTAACACACCTATTGCCTCAACATTGCCTATTACCACCCAGCCATCACCTGTCATTCGTCCCATATCTGGAGGGGGGATCTACCGGCAATACCCTGCAGGTGTAACAGCTGTACCACTGGCTAGCCTCACTAGGTTACCTCAAGTGACTCCTAGAATGCCTCATCCCACACAAGGATCATATTATAACCAATATCCATCATCAGCCACTTCAGCAGCCATTACAAGTACGATGCCCCAAGACACACCAATGTACCTTGGAAAACCATCAGCACCAGAAACTGCCCAAACAAATACAACAGTTCCACCTACAGACCAAGGTGGAGTTTCAGCACCTTGTCTCCATGCTCCATCAGATAATCAGTTAACTTACCTTCCCTCTCCTGTTGCTCCTCCTTCAGCTCAGGCCCAACCTACTTCCCTCCAACCAATTCAAACAGAACCACTATCTTTAGCCCAGTCTCAAATACCAGCATCAAGTCAACAAGCCAGCCTGCCACAAACATCGGCCGTTAGTACTCCACCTAACAAACTTTCTCCTCCTGTGGAAATACCAAAAGGAAAAGATGATGAAAAAATGAGTCAACAACAAGAACATATATTGCAACTAGAGAGAGAACGAGTTGAACTTGAGAAATTACGCCAACTGCGGTTACATGAGGAACTTGAAAGAGATCGAATGGAACTTCAAAGGCACAGAGAAAAAGAACAGTTGATTGTTCAGCGAGAAATTCAAGAACTTCAAACCATCAAACAACACGTATTGCAGCAACAGCAAGCAGAGCGTGAAACACAACTCATTATGCAACGAGAACAACTGGCACAGCAACGTATGCAGCTTGAACAAATCCAGTCTTTGCAGCAGCAGCTCCAGCAGCAGCTGGAAGAGCAGAAGCGGCAGAAGACTGCTGCTGTGGAGGCTGCTGCTGCTGCTGCTGCAGCAGAAGCAGCCGCAGCCTCTGCAGCTGCCGCTGCTGCCGCCACATCGGTGCAAGGGGCCCTGCAAGGAGTCACTGGAGGGGCTCCTCATGGTTTGATTATTTGCGATCACACTGGCAGAGTCATTCAACAAGATGGCCAGAGTGTTCAATTCTGGCAAGACGGGCAGGTGGTGCAGGCTGTTGTTGCTGGTCGGCCAATTCAAAGTTCTGCATCTGAAATGTCATTGAAGACCAGTGACAAACAAGTTGACCAGAAGGTTATGAGAAAACAAAACTCTATGCCTCGACTCCGAGATGGCATGGAAGAGGAAGAAGTGAAGAAGAAGATTGCTGACAGTTGTGTACAAACTGATGATGAAGAAGGAGAAGACAGATTTATGAACCGTCGCAGGCGAACAAGGCGCATTGCAGACTGTAGTGTGCAAACGGACGAAGAGGACCAGGGAGAGTGGGACCAACAGCCAGTAAGGCGAAGGCGATCCCGAGCATCAAAACATGCTGATTCCAGTGGAGATAGTAAATCTGTATCTTCCAGTATTGCTATTCAGACATCAAATGATTCCTCATGTCAAACTGAAGCAGACCAGCTTGGGAGGGTTTCTCCCGCAATCCATATTACTATGGCAGAGACTTCAAAAGTTGATCTCCTGCATTATATAGCTGCTCCTGAGAGAACACGGAAAGGAGAGAGTTTAGCGTGCCAAACTGATCCAGAGTCACAGTCTCAGGGGGTAGTTGCTCCTCAGCTCAGTGTACCTACAACCATCAGTCCCTACTCTACAAGCCTGCACATAGTTGGGGCAAACGCAGTAGATGCTGCTTCTCCAAGGCTGCAAGGGGTGGCAACATTTGAGAGGAGGAAACCCGATCCTCTGGATATCACTTATCAGCAACATGATTCTCGTCAACCCCCAAAGTCTCCCCAGGTTTTATATTCACCAGTGTCACCTCTTTCTCCACATCGTATGTTGGAGACCACATTTGCATCCCAGGAGAAACTCAACAAAGCCCATGTCACTCCACAGCAGAAAGCCTTCACATCTGAATCACCCCAGCGACATCAGTCACTCCCACGACCCATAAAAAGTGTGCAGCGCTCAATGTCAGATCCAAAACCTCTCAGCCCTACATTGGAGGATCCTGCCAAGAACAGGTTTTCTCCATATCATCAGCAAGCGTTGTCCAACAGTCAGGTAAGAACTGAGTCTAACAATAATCATACACAATACAGTATAATACTTGCTAAGGATTACATAGAAGCATTTCACAGCAAGTGATTTAGCGATAAAACTGCATGTTTTAATATGAATTCTTTACTATCAATAGACCATAATGTTTTTTATTTAAGCTTTAATTTATCAGGTAAAATGTAAATAAGTCAACTGGTTGTGCGTTCCTCAATAACTGACTGATTGTTTATGTTTTTTTCAACAGATGGCTGCCCTGCAGCAGCAGCAAAATTCACTTATGAGGAAAGTAAAGAGAACACTCCCCAGCCCCCCTCCAGAGGAAAGTCCTCTGCCTATTGTCACGCCAGCTCAAATGTACAGTTCCCCTGGCATATCCCAGAGAGTACTACCACGTTCTACCCAGGGAGTTACTAAAGCTGGGCTACTAAACGAGCTTAAAGCAGTAGAGCAAGAGTCATCAAAGTTACGCAAACAACAGGCTGAACTTGAAGAAGAAGAAAAAGAAATAGATGCTAAACTCCGCTGTTTGGAGCTTGGAATAACGCAGCGCAAAGAAACAATGGTAAAGGACAGGGAAAGAAGAGAATTGGCTTATCTGCGCTGTATGGGCGATGCCCGTGACTACATGTCAGACAGTGAGCTCAATAACCTAAGGTTGGCAGCTGCAACTGGAACCTTTGATGCTAACGGTCTTCTGACTAGACCCAGCACTGCCCCACTCAGTCAATTTACCAATGACCCCAATTCAACTTCGCAGTATCCCTCTACCTCCTCTTATATGTCTTATCCCTATTCTCAAAGTCAGTCGTCAGTTCAGCCACCCGTTTCTGCCTATGGGTTCCAAACTCATCCTTATCCAACCTCAGCTCCCCAACCTGGAACATTTCAACCCCATCCTCCAACTGGACCACCATACCAAAATCAGCCAAGTTATTCCTCCCGTGCCTATGGTCAGTCTTCCTATCAGACAGATCTTGGTATGCAGCATAGCCACCAGGGCTTCCATCCTTCTGGTCAACCCATGCCTAGTCAAAGCCTACCATATCCAGGTAGTTCCTTCCAACCTGGTCACCCTTACCAACAACAAGCTGACATCCTTACTGTTCATCAACGACCCCGACAGACATCCTTGGCTGATCTCGAACAAAAACACCCAACAAACTATGAAGTGATCAGTAACCCTGCAGTGTCAGTTGCCACATCTGCTCCTGACACCAACTATGGCTCTATGTACACCAATACTTATGGACAATACCGTCCTCTGGAGTCTGGCCCAGTTCACAGCAATGAAAATCCAATGGCCACATATGGCACTGATGGGCTGTACACCTCCAACCTGGAGCAGAATATTCCAAGAAACTATGTTATGATAGATGACATAAGTGAATTGACAAAAGATAATGCTGGCCAAACAACTGATGCACTGGGACATCCTGTTGGGCCACGTTATCGGAATGAGAATGGTCCTGTGCATGGCTCTGCTTATGGAAGACCAGAAGAGGAGACTTTGGATGCTTATGGAAGACCAACTGGCACAACCAATTATCCAACCACTGCTGACAATCGCACTAGTACAACAGTAAGTGGGAGCTCTTCATATTACTATGATGACTATAAACATGGAAGAAGTAGCACTGGAAGCCATAAATCTACACCCAAGAATCTCACCCCTGGAGTATCATCTAAGAGAAGTAAGCACAGAAAACAGGGAATAGAGCAGAAAATATCTAAATTCTCCCCTATAGAAGAAGCACGAGATGTTGAATCAGATCTAGCCTCCTACACCATGACAACAGCAACAGGAGGGAGCTGTACAGTAGTGACCAGGTCCAAGAAAGGGCAGGAAGATAGTAGTTATGGAAAAAGACATTCTTATGATCAACAGAAATACTATGGGACAAGTCGCGAGGGACTGGAGGAAGAGGACCATATGTACCCTGCTGGAAGATCTAGGTCTACTGGATACGGTATGGACAAGATTTCATCCAGAGATAGCACAGGCCATAGAAGCAAATCATATGAAAGAGATGCAATGGAGCGCACTCAAAGAGGCAGTCGCAGTGGTAGACCACCAATGCGTAACCAAAATTCAGAAGAGGAGAGCCCTCTCAGTCCTGTAGGAAAGCCTGTTGGCATTGGCAGGAGCTCAGCTGCAGCAGATGCCTATGACGCAAGAAATCAGTATGGCTCAAGCCATTCACTTCCGGATGTCCAAGACCACCACAAAAAGGATCTTCCAAGAAGTCATGTTTATAAACCTGATGATCCATATCTTGTTGATGACATGCACTGTGCAGTTTCTGACAGTGAAGGTAACTGGTGCTAATTATTTTGTTCTGCCTGATACGTCTGTGACAAGACCGCATGCCAAGCATGTACTGTTCTTTCTTCAATACTTTTTTTCTCATTTGTTTTTTTCTTCTTTGATGTGCATTTTGGTGTTGTGAATTACTCTCAATAGCCATAATTAAAATGATTGTCCTGCATGCTTTGTGTAAAGCGTGACTGTTACAGTAGCACATATGCATGTCTCTACGGTTTATATGGTCTTCATTTTGCATGCCTTCAATCTGCATGCTATTCATAACCTAAACAAACACACTAAAGACTGACTATAATGTTTGTTTGGTCTAAAAGCCTATCACTTGGGTCAAGAGGAGACGGACTGGTTTGAGAAACCACGAGAAGCACGCTCAAAGCATCATGGCACGAGTGGACATTCGTCCGCAGGTAGACGCAGTAAGCACGCCCACCATGACTATGATGAGCCCCCTGAGGAGTACGGTCCAGAAGACTACAATCAACAGCGCCACACTTCAGCAAGAGAACATCGTCACCATGGCAGCAGCTCTGGAAGACACAGCTCATCCCGCCACTCTTCTGAGGATCCCAGATCACCTCGTTCTTCCCGAACCCACTCTAAAGATCCAACTGGTCGCACTGAAGGCAGGACCTCTGCAGGAGTACAGAGGAGGGCTCACCCAGACTCCCGAACCTCCACGGGAAGCCCACGAAATTCAGGCGACTTCTCACGAGACTCACCCACAGGACATCATCATGGACGGGGACAAAGAACTCAAGGAGACCGCCCACCATCCAGGAGACAAGACCCCAATGCACCAGGGTCAAAGGATCAGCACCCACAGCAGCAGACAGCTCCAGGTCAGCAGCGGGCTGGTGCGCAGACTGGGAGACATCCTGGGCCAGAATCCACAGATGCCACACAGCCGCCACCACAGATAACCCAACAACAGCAGCAACAACAGCAACAACAACAGCAACAACAGCAACAACAGCAACAACAACAGCAACAACAGCAACAACAGCAACAACATCAACAACATCAACAACAGCAACCACATCAACAACAGCAACCACATCAACAACAGCAACCACATCAACAACAGCAACAACACCCACCAATGCACCAGGGACAGACAATGGCCAATGCTGGACCAGGAGGACCACATCTATCCAAACCAGCACCAGCCCCAGTACAGGGGAGGCAACCAGGCATTGGAACAGCAACAGGCCCACCAGCACCTACTGCGGTAAGAAAACATTGAAAAAGAAATGTAGTTTTTGGCTTAAAGTTTTGTATATAATTACACAAAGATTACGGGTTGAATGTGAAAAAAAAAACACTCACCCAGATTTCTAAATTCCATACATACATTCATTCACAATGCAACTTGTACTTTACAAATTGAGAAAACAAACATTCAAATCATAAACAATTAAGAACAACAATAATTATTGTACATTAAAAAGATTGCTGATCAAATATTTCAATATGCACAGCTGAACAAAACCTTTGTTGTTTTTATAATGGAATAAAAAAATAAATACAAAATCTTTTTACCTTAAAGCTTACCACTCTGCCTCAGATCCTCAAGAAGGATGAGCTCTATTTGTGCTCTCTTTTAAATCACTTCTAAACTCACTTTTATTATTATGAATATTATTATTATGAGTTGTCAGTGTTGATACACGTTGCTATTGTCCAGGCGGAGTTCTAATTATATGCTTCTTGTGCTGAGATTGAGAAAGAGGCCTAAACATATTTCACCAAAGACACTGGCAAGTCGGGCTGCCACCAACGATTATTTTGGCACAGGATTAATCCATCTTTTTCCTTAAATTAATTGGTTAGTTATTTAAAACACGGATATGTGGTTTTTATCCAAATTTGACAGCGAGGACAATCAAACTATAGATATATAGAAACAAATATTTCACTCAATTGAGACATTTCATTTTGTTTTAACCCTAACCCTAGTGATTACTGATCTGACATGTATTAGAGTCTATAAATAGAGCAGTTTATAGAGCAGTTCTGCTTGGATACTCAGCTGTCAACATGTTAACATATACAATGAGGCCATAATAGGCAATGTTTGAAGTAATAAGAATAAATCAGCTCAGCTTAGAAAGGTTCATCTCGAAATGAACTGTTTTGTTCTATAGTTGATAAAGGAACAAAGCAGCCTTAAAGCACCAATTAACAGAACTCTTTCATAAAAAAAGAAAAATCGCATTTATGCATATTTGGCAGGTTATCATACCATGGCCAAAGATGAGAAAGTTCTATTAAATGGAATTCGCTCATCATAATACAAATGTCCCAATTACTCATGCAGATGACGTGTTAACTCCAAAAACCTATTTACTGTCACATTAAATCCTGAAACAATATAAATTGAAGCATAAAACAACTTTCTATACATTTCAGACCAAAATGGATCCTGCGCCTCCATTGAGCGGAATAGGATCTAAAGCAATGACGGGGCCATCGGCACCACAGCCAGCTAAAATAGCAACACCTCCTCTAACAGGCATTGGTAAGTTCAGTCTCATTATATCAATGTGAAGGTCCTTCTGATGAGCTGATGGTGATGTCTCTACATTAGGCTCCAAAGCACCTCCGGTCGGCATCGGCAGTAAACCTGGAGGTATCGGTGGTGCTGCTGCAGGACAGCCCCCAGCTGAGGGAGACAATGTCCTGTCTAAAATTCTGCAAGGAGGGGCAGCGGAGCAGGCTGGAAAACTAGGGGATGGTAGGAACATTTGTACTTTGGAAGATTATTGTGAAATTATAGAATTTACGCAACAAGAGTAGTAAGCTTTTATTCAATAAATATGTTGTTTAAAATATGAACTGAAGTAACTGTAAAGGTGCTTTCAGACCAAAAGCTTCAAAAAGCTTTTGACGCGCGTCAACTGACGCCGGGCTTCTCGGCGTCACCTGACGTGCTTCACCATTCACTTTCAATGCAAACCTGACGCTTTTGAAGTCAAAGTTAAGTCCGGTGTGAAAGCCCCTTTACTGTATTCAGAATATCACTAGAATCAGGTGTTAGCAGAATATGAATGTGTAATGCACTATAGTAATTGTTGTTTTGGTTCTAGCTCTGTCTGGCCTTGGAAAGAAGTTCACTTCACTGTGGTGAAGTGAAAATTCAAAGGTAATTAATTGATAAACTTAGTCTTTCTGAAACACATGTTGTGAAACATATTCAAATAAATGAGTTTTTTTAATTTGGTTTTCAGTATATTCATTAACATAAATCACTGACTTTGTACTGGAAAAACCTGTAAAATTTAAATCTCAAGCATCATGAGAGAGACTTCTGAATTCATAAGTGAGTAATATTATTTTATGTTTCATTTATACATTTATACATTCAGAGACATTTCAAATGATACAATTTATTTTTTAAATCAAACAGAGCTGGAATCTAGATGTTCTGTGTCAGAATTCCCCAGAATTCTGAAAAGTTAATGAAAGCATTTGACAGAACCAACAGAAGATGAAGATAGACTAAAGGTAAGTGAAACTCCGGGATGTATTCATAATGTATTGTGTAGTAATAGATGTTCAATCAGAACTGTGTATGATCCAATGTGCTACTTACATAATTCTCATCTAATTAAGAATAGAATGTTTATTATTGTAAAAACCTAAGTTTATCAATATAAGATCGATGCAGGATGCATTTTCACGTCACACCATCTGGGACAAACTGGTAGATGTTTGTTTATTTTTTTTATCATGGAGCTAAAACTAACGCTTAGCCTCATCGCATGTGAACAGCTCATGGCATACTCATGACTCAGGGTTAGCATCATCACGCATTACATGCTACAATAAACCAACTAATTCTGCTCAATGGTGCACACGCTTTTACAACGAGTACAGAAAACGTATCTAAAAGCACTGTCTTTGTTCAATGTAATGACACATTTATGTAGGCTTAGCTGAACAGAAATGCAGATACATGACACTGCTTTAGGCTTGTGACTCCTGATGGAAATCAAACTGCATGTCTTGGTCAGTCGAGGGATTCTCTCGAGTAATGTGCTGATAAACCCGACTTAGAGCAAGAGGCCAGCCGGCTTAGCTTAGTGGATTAGAGCCAGGTTTCTTTGCTCTTCAACTCAAGCATGGTTCTTGAATGTTCCTACAGTTCTGTACAGTTCTTACTATAAATGTGGGACTGTTTTCCTAAAGTTGTAGAGAATATATAATACTACAACATTTTCAGTAATATATTTGTACTTTCTCTTTGTGTCTCTGACAGGCCCTTTAAGTGGCAGTTGCTGCTGAGTGACAGGCAAGGCTTTAACTGGAGGCAGAGCATATTAGGACTTTCAGAGTGCTCAGTCGTGCATGATATTTTTTGCCAAAGGGTTTCTTACTATGCCCTCTATTGGAATATCTGGGGATCGCACATCTGTTAAAGAGTCAAGGTATCAGCTTGATGTTTTCAGAAGATTCAGCGAAAAGTTTTATGGGTTTTTCCTTTACTATCACTCCACACCTGCAACAGGTGTTTAACGGCAATGAAGACAAAACCTGGCTTCACTTCACGAATGCTTGGTTTACCAATTTCTGCAGTACATTCCATTTTAAGGAAATAATGCTTTTTGAATGTTGTCTTTTATGTTTAGTCCGTAAATGCATTGTGTAAATGTGGATATCAGGATGCACGCACAAATGAGAGACTCACTGTATTGCTACGTTTTCATCTCTGAGATGCCACTAGTTATTAGCTATGTATGGGGAAGGGATGACTACCAGTGTGCCCACACGTGTGCTGTCCACATCGAGAGGACCTATTGAAAGAGTGGCCATGGCTTTTAATTAGCCATCATGAAGCCATTGTTTATGTCTCAGACTCATCTGGGACAAGTGTTCCTCTGTTTTTCATTTGCCTCACTGAATGGAAGGGCCTTATTTGTATGTTTTACCTGTATACCTCATTTGTTTTAAAATGTTCATATCGTTATACTTTTCTTTTTACACTGCTGTATATTATTGTATGTACATAAACCAAATCAAGTTATGTATATTTGTCATTTGTGTATTTTTGAATAATTGTTTGTACTTTTTGTTGGAATCATTTATTTGCACTTGTTTGCTTGTTTATTTTAAAAGCAATAGCATGCAGATAATGGTATAGCACAAAGATTAAAATTAGTGATGGAAAAATGAATCATTTGGGTCTATAGATAGGAATAATACAGTTTGTCAGCTGGTTTACAACTACTGTTCCTAGATGTGCATGTTAAGTTTGACGGCAGAAGAGCATGCAGACCGGTACTTTCTCTCACTCATAATTCAGAGTCAACCGTGTTCTGCCAATCTCTCTCAAGCTGGCTCCACTGCCTATATTTGCACCGACCGTATACAACAGGACAATATGAAAGCAATTACAACATCAGATCTTCTATGCAATTTCTCATTTTGATCGTGGAAAAGATTCAGTCTGAACAGTTAGCTATCACCACTAGACCACACATTGAGACGCAAACCTGTGGGATAGGTCCTGAAACACTTTACTTTACAACTCGTCTGTATGACTTTAGATATTAAATGTAACTAGTTTTGGTTTTTGTGGCATGTTTTCTTACCCCTCACTCCACACTAGTTAGTGGGACTTGTTGCCAAAGGGTAAATTGTGTGATTTTTATTTTTTATTTTTTGAATGTCCACCATCATGTTGCTTTGAGGCATGGAGTTCTTTGCTTGGCTTTTGTATGGCCGTTTTCAAATCCTATCTTCGGTGTTTGGCTTGCAGTGGCTGTCCATGCTGCTATAAAGCTGTGATACAGATGGTCAGCACTTCCATCATCTCTGTGTCATTGTACATATTGATGTTGGTGTATCCTGTGGGGTGACTGAATGCTTCTAATGACATTTGAATATCTCACTTAAAACAGCCAAGCCATCTTTAAAAGGTGCATGATTTGTACTTATACTGAATAGATCCGAGGCATGTTTTTCACGTAAAGTTTTCCAAACGATCCTCAAAATTACACAGGCCAACATCGAGAATACTAAAGATAAAAAAATGTAATTGTTTTGCCAGTCATTCACAAAATCAGGCATGATGTCATTTTTTGAAAGCACAAGCCTGACTGGTAGCACTCGAAAGGGATACAGAACAGTGCCTCTGACTGAGCTGTCATGGATAAAACAAGCAACATTATTAAGAGAAAATGCAAGAGAAATGTATGTGATACAACCATTTTTAGAGAGAGAAAGAGACACATCCTTAATGTAAATAATCATTCTTGTGTACAGCTTTGTTTTGAATACATGTGCATTCTCATGATGTAATTGCTGCCAACTTTTTGTGAATAAAAGAATATTTATTATCATAATGAAAGGGTAATAATGATGACAATAATAATATGATTATTATTGCATAGCTTATTTGACTGACTGATAAATGGTTTACAACAGTGGAAGGAAGCATCTGGTCAATTTAGAGATGTTATTATACATATTGGTTGTAAAAAGGCTTCCATGGCAATAGCAGAGTTTGTCAGTGTAAAAAAGATGAATATTATTTATCAAAAGAGAAAGAACGAAATAGGTTTATGAAGCAAAATATCTGTCATTCACTGTTGTAAGTGCAATGGGCAAGCGTCAGTCGTGTATCCATTGTGAAACCTTGTGTTCTACTAGTGTATTCCTGTAAACAGATAAAAAATGGTGCATCATGTCAAGTAATGTGATATATGAAAATATTGACCCTGCAATTTCCGAATGGAGAATAAAATAAAATAAAAACAACCAAATATATTTTGTCCTATTTTATTGTTATAATTTGTTTCATTATTATTGCAAACAATGGTTTTATGAATTTGCATTTGTTAACATATGTGAGTGGTTTGTACTAAAAGATAAAGCGTATTGGGATGAAAAGAAAGAGGATTTATCCCAGAAGACAGTGATGACTTATCTGTGTGTGGGCAGTGCTTGTTGGAGCAGGAGAAGATGCCAATGAATATGAAGCAATGGAGGCGTGAGGATGGGAACACTATAATTTCAAATCGACAATAATTTTAATAATCTATTTGTATAGAGCTGTTTTTTTAATCATTTATTCATTTGTTGCTGAATGTTTGATGTAATGTAATGTTTAAACAATAGGCATTTGCTTTTGTAAGAGTAGATTCTTTATAAGTGAAAACCCACAAAGACACACTTTCACATAGTGTGGCACATAATTCAGAGCTTTCTGATTTTTACTAATTTCACCTTCTGACTTTTATTACACAATAGAAGAACACAAATCATGTGGTGTGGTGCTATACTGCCCTCATCTGGTTCCATTGGTTCCACCATCATAATTTTCTATATACCAAAATGAGCACTGAAACTTTGAGTACACTATTTCTAAATCTGTGTAACATCTGAAGGCGTTCATATGGATACCACCTACCGCAATATGAGAAACACTGGTTTATTGCTAACAATCACCACCCACAGAAAAACAACACAAGAATCTCCAAATCTCCAATTCTTATTGTGACACAACATTCAGTTAGTTTATTTAAGGAGCATTTGGTTCTAGCCGATTGCTGTACTGACTTAAAGATCAGTCGCACATTAGAATCATTGAGGTTAACACACTCATACTGTCTCTATTAACAGTTACAGTTCATCAGTGAGATTGCTGCAGCACTTTAAATAGCCCTCTTGCACCCTTGCTTTAAAGTAATATTTATTGCATTGAGCCACAGCCAACTTCCCTTCATATACAACTAGAATAAAATATTCAGCAGCATAATAATGATAGGTGTAAGTAGTGAATTTGGCACTTGACTTTAATTCTGAGTCAAAAGGCAAAGCTCTCAAATTACCCATCCTGAGGAACGCCCGGAAAAGACTGAGAGTGGAGCTCAATCACAGGGGAGGAGCTCAAAGTAGAGCCACGACTCCTCCACAGAGGGGGCCAGTTGAGGTAGTTTGGAATTTCTGTTTTGGATGCCTCTTGGACGCTTCCTGGAGATGTGTTCCAGGCATATGCCACTGGGAGGAGACCCCATAAGACCCAACAGGAGGGACAATGTCTCTCAGCTCGCCTGGGAACGCCTCTGCATTCCCCCAGATGAGCTGGAAGAAGTATGTGTGGAAGTCTGGGCACCTTTGCTCAGTCTGCAGCTACAACATTACAATAAACAAATTGGAAGAAAATGGATGGATAGAAAACATTTTGCTGCACAATGACTAAGGGGAAAGAATCATTTAGGTAATAATGCATAATCAAAATTATTTTAATTGCCATTGTAAGTAAAAGGAAGTCAAAAAGTAGGATTTTGCTTTTGCTCAAGGTGCAAACAAGTTGTACACATAATAATGATAATGTTCTGCACTAAACACAGTGTAGGTTTCTAGAGGTGTATTATGTGGAACTTGTTGTATCACAGCCAAAAGCCTGGGTGTAATGTAACGATACCTTGTTCAGTGATGACTCCCTACACTATACAGTAACTGTATGTGAATTGTGACTCATCCTGATGGGAAATAGCCAGCCTCGTTGATGTAGCAAATAAATCAATATTTCATTGCTTTTTAGTCACCTTCTCAAAAGCCATTTTCTTTATTGCATCTTTAACAGTAAGATGCATAAAGGATCCTCCCAGTAAGAGGCTTACGTAGTTGGTCATTCACTCAAACACCAGACTAATACAAGAAAATATATAGTAGCTACAGAGGTCTCCTTTTAGAATATTAACCAGGCCCTGTCCTGCTTAGCTGCTGAGATCTGAATGGATTATGCTCACACATACATGCAGGTGCACATATAGACTAAGCTATTTGAGCGATGTATTTGACCAAAACTCAAAAACTGAAGTCCTCCTTCCCATACATTTATGTAAACCAGAGTCAAATAAAAGTAGTGAAGGAATTTAAATATCTAGGCCTTGTTTTGAATTCAACGTTTAGTTTTAAAAAACATGTTAAGAAAATTGGCAACACAGTAAAATACAGTTTGTCTGTTTTTAAACATATTAGGAATACACTGACTCATGATGCGGCAAAAATTTATTTGGAGGCAATGATAATTCCACATATTAATTACTGTATTTCTTGTTGGTCACAGACGAGTGACACAACAATAAAACCTCTCAAATCTCTATATAATCAAGCTATTAAAGTGCTAGACAAAAAGCCATTGAGATACCATCACTGTCTGATCCTTAGAAAATACAGCATGTTTAACTTTGATAATTTAATTGTGTACGCAAATGTGCGATTAGTTTTTAAAATTTTGAATAATACTGCACCTCCACCGCTGAAAGCATTTGTCCAGCTCTGTTCTGAGCAGATGACTAGGAGCTCCAGGTCCACAAGTCGTAATGACTGTAGACTGCCTAAACGTAGCTCAGCCTTTGCGCAGACATCCTTCTCATTCAAAGGCATCAAAGAATGGAACAAACTCCCACAGAGTCTGAAACTTTCCTTAGACCTGAAAGATTTCTCTCGTAATACAAAAAAAGTGCTGTTGGTGAACCAGTCATGTCAGCACTGATAATTGTAAATGTAAATATGACCGTTAGTGATGTTTTATGTAGTAATTTTAACATGATTTTATGTGGACTGATGGATGTAACGGGTGAATGTATGAATGAATATTTGTATTTGAGTGGTTAAATATATTTTATATTGTACATGTTGTGACTCACCTGCTCAGGGACTGCAGATGGAAACTAGCTCAAGCTAAATCTGGTGCAAAGCATCTTTAATTAATGTATTTGCACATTGTCCCTGTTGAAATAAATTAATAAACTAAACTAAAACTCTCATTGTGATTGATTAGCCTTTGATGAGTCAACACTTGTGACGGCCGCAGGAGGGCAGCACTGAGCTGATATACAAGTCCTCAATATGTCTGCAGCCATTAAGTCGGAGAGCTTAACGACCAATGAATAAGGAGGGAGAGGAGCTTGGCTGCCTCACCTGTCACTCACACAGCTCGTGATCAATGAGCAATCCTTTCATTGTCAAACTGGAAACTGATGTCTCAAAGTCTGCCTACATTTTGACGGTGGTCAATAATGATAACAAGGCTTCAGGGCATAAAAGAATATCCTGAAACGATCAAAAGTAAATCATTTTTTATAGATGTGACGGGAATAAGTAGTGAAAAGGTTTATATATTAGACAAACTCATATTGAGTACATTTCAACCAACCAAACCAGTTAATGAGTACAACTTAATCGATTCCATTGATACTAAACATTTGTCCAAACCGCATCAAACGCCCTTCTGAACGTGTAGCCAAACACAGACGCATTTCGACACAAGGTCTTCTTCAGGGCTTGATGCTTTTAATTATTAAATGGGACTCTGCACATGCCATGATCATCCTATATATAGGCTAATTTTAATTCTTTTATTTCTCCACATGCTAGAGTTTGAATAAAAGAGCACTTATGGCTTAAAAGGAGGGTTAGAGTAATGTTCTTGTTAAGTACATTTAATCAAACTATGCAACTCAATCACTCTTTCTGTAAAGTGGGAGTGTGGGTTTTCTCCGGGCCCTCCTGTTTGTAATGCTAATGACGTGCCCAGACAACAAATGTATAAATGCAGAAGACACTTGTACAATAAAATTATTTTAAAGCCAACTCTAATGTGACATTTTATATCTAGCCTCAGCAGGAGGTCAGAGGAAAGTGTTTGAGCTCAGACCAATGCTGATGCTTCTGCTTTGGGCTGTCAAGCACACTCAGCATCAGTTTACAAAGACAAGCAGGAGAACTCTTCTGAATTCAATGCGCCCAAAGAGGAAGGGTGCACTTGAGAAGAAGTCAGCTTAATCAAGCCAGTTGGAAATGTAAAGACTGATTCATGATACGTTTCCTTAGTTTGTTTACCATGAATGCCCATAACTGTTTTATTGTTAGTCTATTGTTAAAATTGTTCTACAACAGAACACTGTTGTTTATACATAGGCCAATCTCATGGCCCATACTAAAACAAGACGGCAATCAGTTGTAACCTTAAAAGCTCAAATAAATATAAATCACAAGATAATCAAAGTGGACCCTTGCATTGATTTCAATCCAGGAGGTGAAAGAGTAGCAGGATGGCATTGCTGTCTCCATTTCGTGCGCCCACCCCCTCCTCAGGCCAGATGCTACATCGTTCACAGCGTCTTCAGCCAGCCGCGTGCGTCCGCGGCCCGTGACGTGAGGAGGAGGTAGTGCGCATGCGTGAACCATTGACAGCGCGCCGTGGAAGAGAGAGGCTGCCGCTTGGTGAATGGAGGCGCCGAGATGCTGGCTACCGTGGCGGACATCAGGATTTAATATCGACAAAGGTATTTGTATAAAATGGATTGTCAATGTGAAGACGCAGTGGATCATACTGTCCAGCAGTGCGTGCGCATGATTGGCTGCGTGTGAATCACAGGTTGATGCTGTGGCAGTGGGCAGCACAGCTGGTCAGCGTAAACTGGATTTCTCAGAAACTGCCAAATATGCCTAACGCGGCTCCGGAAATGTACAGCCTTTTGTGTCGAAAAGCCTCCTCATAATAGATGGGACAACAGAATATAGGCTATTGGTGCTTTCAGGTGCTCGACCCAAAGCACGTTCAGTCATCGAAGATGTAGGCCCAGCTGTCAATCGTACACCCGTGCTTATGCATGCCCTCATAAAGCCTCTAGCATCCTGCAAATTTATGGACAACGTGCAGCCAACAAGATGATCGGTTATATGGATTAGTTAATAAATATATTGAATCCTTGTCGACTTTAGGATATTCCTGGATGGTATATTTTGACATATATAGATATACATATCTATATGTGTCTATAAATAGCTGAATAGCAATTAACGAGTGTGTAAAGATCACAGACTGTACAGCTCTCATCCCACCGCTGAAGCTGGCCTAAGTGTCAGGGTTGTGTAGTAGAATACGTGATGAGGAGGATGTTGCATGTGTTGCACCGCTCTGAACCGGTTTTTGCGTCTCTAGATTAATCACTCCCCTTTGTGAAGGTTATTACACGTGGCGAATAAAGCAGAAGTTTACCATTCCTTACCAAATCTAATATTGAGGAATCGGTTTGAGTCACAACGGCCGTGGGATGGAAGCAAAATGTCTGCCTTTTGGAAATGTCTCTGAGCACATCAGTGTCTCTCGCCTGCACTCAGCAGCGCCTGTGGTGGCTCTTTCAGAGCAGCTGTATCCGCACCACTGCCTCCCAAAGTAGCACATCTACTGACCACTGGTCCACCACTCCTTTGGCCTTTGTTTCTGTGCTTGGAGCCCGTGCAATATGGGAAAGACCTGCAATAGCCCAAATGACAAAATGTTGAATGATCAAGGCCAAGATGTATCAAGATGTATCTTAAAGGTTTTTCAAAATGTGTATGTGTCAATGTTTTCCAAAAGGGTGAGTACACATTTCTTATTCCTAGAAATTGTTTTGACCATTAGTTTTGTAAAAACACAGTAGTGTAATACAACTTGGATATTTATGTCACATACAACAAACTAAGATTGTTTGACTAATTAATTCCACATTAAAAACTAAACCCCTCCAGCTCAATGCCCTTGATATACATAGAGCGAGATGCATCAGAAAATATGTTTTATGCAACATTTTCTGCAAAAGAATTGTCTGAAAAGCAGAAACCAGTGATGACAATTTTCTGTTCATCCACTCACTGTGCAATCCTCAATGTAATTTACAGGCCTACTCTTGTACATTTCTGAAAAAAAAAACACATTGATATATGGTATGTATATCATCAATGTGATTATTCAGAGGTAAAGACATTACAATTATCTTATGGCAGTATCTATCTTCTGAATAATAATGTGTTATCCAACCAAAAATATCTGCCAGTTCCTCTCTCAAAACTAGAGTGGTCAAAAAATCAAATTATTTTCTTGCCATGTTTTCAAGTGAAGCTCTGGCAATGGGCTGATCTCTGCATTCGGGGATGAGGGAAAGTGAAGCAACTTCTGAAACAAGTTTTCTAGAGTATCATGGATTAATATTATGGAATTGTAAAATGCTGCCATTACTTGTCCATTTCTTGCTCTGGAAGAACCAGAATCAAGAATCAATTATTAGAATAGATGATTTACTAATCATTAATGCCTCTCCACATGTGAACTAGACTAACTACCTTGAATGCTGATAATGATGCTGATGCTATAAGGACAGATCATATTTTACAATAAATAAATAAACGTCTTCTCTTAAATAAGTCATTCCCCCACACCTTTGCAATTGTGTGCTTCAGTTACATTAGTGACACAAGCTTAAAATCCTCAGAGTATCCATGGAAACAGAAGTTAAGCAGCAAGTGTCATTAAAAAGACAATTGTTCACTTTGACTGTGGAGGAAAATAAAACACCAGACACCCCACCCTCTTCCAATAACATATATTAGGGTCAATAATCGAAAATATGTATGTTTATGTATATTTCTTAGTTTAAGTGAATCTTGGAGTTTTCTAATATAGCATATAAACTTGTAATAATAGTTGTGTTTTAGACGGCACATGAGAAAAGAAATGGGATAATAATCAAATCTATTTTATTTTCCTCTGCATTTGTGTTGCACAGGTTAACTATTCCTATTCTCTCAACAGGTGCTCTCTGTTGCTTCTTGGGGTTGGACATTGATGGTACATAATTTCTGCTGATAAAGACATGAAGTAAACTGCTCATGTGTGGTTCACACAGTCACAGTCTGATTTTTGCGTGTCGCTGTTAAAGGACCTTATCAGGAGATGTACGGCAGCGCCAGAGCAGTAGGCCACATTGAGAGCAGCCCTGCCCGGTCACCGCGGCTGCCCCGCTCCCCTCGGCTTGGCCATCGGAGGGCCAACAGCGGAGGAGGGAGCAGTGGTGGGGGAAAGACGCTCTCCATGGAGAACATCCAGTCCCTCAATGCTGCCTATGCCACGTCAGGACCCATGTACCTGAGTGACCACGAGGGTGTGGGCTCCACTGCCACATACCCCCGTGGTCACATGACCATAGGACGGGCCAGCCGCGCCATGTACGGGGGGCGCGTCACCGCTATGGGGAGCAGTCCTAACATCGCCTCAGTTGGACTTCATGGGGACATCCTGTCTTACAGTGACCTCGGCTCTCTGTCCATGTTACATGCACACCACCACCACCAGGGGGTGCCCTCTGCCCTTTTACGACAGGCCGTAAGGAGTAGTGGGGGAGAGCTGCTGGAGATGCAGGCCCAGCTCAGAGACATGCAGAGGGAGAATGAGTTGCTACGCAGAGAACTGGACCTGAAGGACAGTAAGCTTGGCTCCTCCACAAACAGCATCAAAAGCTTCTGGAGTCCTGAGCTGAAGAAGGAGAGGATCATGAGGAAGGAGGAGGCAGCACGGACGTCCATCCTGAAGGAACAGATGAGAGTGACTCATGAGGAGAACCAGGTGAGAACAACTCCACTCAAAACCATTTACTCACAGTCTTGGTCTGTCCTCATCTGCGGTGCAATGAAACCAACCGTACTAAAATCACACCATGCAATGTTCAGTTTTTGAAGAAAAGTGGCCTTTCTGGAAACAGTGTTCATACATATTTAACTCAGATATTGCTCTTCCCTGCAGACGCCATATAGTTGAATAATGTAACAATTAGGGTGAAAGCCTAAATAGAGTATATACATTAATTAAAAATATTGCTCAATAATCATATAATTCAAGCACAAACTTCATCTTATTAAAAATGTCCACATGCAATTAATTTAATCTTGCATATACTGTATATCTTTTCAGTCAAAATGAAAACATTAAAATCAATAATTGATTAAGAGAATATACAAAGCTCCAATCTGACACCAGATAGACATTATTATCAAGGTGACTTAAACCTCACACTTCAAATTCTCTCCTTCTTCTCTTGAATTGTTTTTTTTGTATTTTGTAGCAAATATATTTTTCTGTACACAAGAATATGTTATGTGACAAAATACCAGAACAATACAAGTATAATGTTTAAAAGTACACACATTGAACTGAGCTGTATTATCATGTTATGTTTTGAGCTTGAGTTTTAGAAAAAGTTCTTTACCAGATTAACATTTGGTTAGCGATAACCAACAGTCCAATTGTAAAGCATTATGACACTTGCCATTTGAATTTTTCCAGTAATTTAAATTGCGTTGTTCGTTAAAGAACGAATGCACAGTGGCATGATCCAGCAAATTGCACAATTCCCCTTAAGGCAGTCCAGCAGTGTAAGGGTAATTTCTGCCAGCTGCTTGCGGTCCATGAGGCTGGCTGTCTGCACTTCTGTCCATCTCCCTGACTGATGCGGTCACACACACAACCTCTGAAAGTGTCATTACTGAAGCTGCGAGCAACGGTGCTCCAGCCTCAAGGTCAAACACGAGACGACTGCTGTGACTAAACACACTCTGCTAGTCCACATTTGTATGTAGGCCCATCTCATATGAACAGTCAATAACACTGTTGTTGTGCTTTCCCATGTTTGTGATGCATGGCTTGTTTGCTTCTCTCAGGAGAGTAGCCATATTACTTATAGGAAACATGTAAAGTGATTAGTCTTTCAGTTAACACAGAAGAGATGGACAAATGTATGCAATTTTTAAAACTTGTCTTTGAGAATAATGCTATAACATATAGACTTCTATAGACTTCAAAGATATCTGTGCCGGTGCCATGTCAAGTTCAGAGTAACTGAAACCAAAACCCAGGACACTCACAACTCTCACGACCGGCTATAATGTATTGTACTCAAAAGCGATTGTTGCCCACAAACTGTGACCAAAGAGTTTGACTCTGCATAGAGATTTTGTTGTTGTTTTTTTTTCTCCAAACATACGTATTGTGGAAATGGCCTAGCTAAAAATCGAAAAGGCAAAATTACTATTTAATTTGTCCTGCTGTTAGACCACTGTCTCCTTCCTTGCAACCTTTAATATGAATAAGCTGACTAAAATCGACGCCTATAGAGAGCGTCTAGGGGAAAATTACATGTTCTTTCAGCCGTGGCACACACAAGGCAAAGACCATTTATAGCTTATCACTTATTTCAGTGCTACTTATTACTCACCGTGAATCTGTGCATATTTTTAGTCTGGCTTCAGCACAACGCCTAGCTCAATATGTTAAGCCCAATACGAAAGGCTTGCTCTCTGAGCTTCAGTCCCTTTGTACAGAATACAAGAGCGACTCCTTTTATGCATCGCCTTGTCCATCCGGGTTAGCTCCGACTGTGCCCTGGATGATATTTTTATCCCTCCTGGTGGGGATCATTAATGAAGTATGTCGACTAAAAAAGACAGATGTGCTACATTATGGGTCCTCCCAATCTTGGCCTGGGCCTCCAAGGCATCCTTACATAAGAATATTGTTATGGTGAAATGATCGTTTAGTCACACCCATTGGGCTTGTTGAGGGAGTATATTAGCTTTTATTAACAAAGCACAACAACTATGCCAATTATCTTGGTATAAGCATTACTTTAGTCTGTAAAACATATTTGTATTATTATAATTATTTTACTGTATTAGGAATAAAAATATGCTCAGGGCAACAACATTGAAATCCAATAAAAATGGTTAGTCATAATGACTGAGAAAATGACTCAGTGTTCTCTACTTGGTCCTGTTCTTACAAATTCAAGAGAAGTTATTTGTCAGTTCCATTTCTTACTATAGCCTGGCCTCAGCCATCCGTAAACTCCGGTCAATTATCATTTCCCAGCATTTAGTACAAAATGTAATTTGTACGATGGTGTGGTACAACCAGGCTACTCCTACTATGTTTGGACGTGTTTTTAGTATAAGATTTTTTAACGTATTCCAAAGCAACACAACGTGGTAAATAATGTGACTATTTCATTGGATTTTAAATAATGTGGAGTTTGCGATGCTGAAGGCGGGAGCTGAAGCACATCTGACTTACTCATTGTGGCCAAATCTTCTCAGCCTCACAGTCAACACAATCCCCTCAATAACGTCTGATCAGCCTGTTCCCTCCCCGCATGCTCTCCTGTCTCTTTCCCAGGCGCATGTTACGCTTCAATGAGCAGGAGAGGCAGTGGATCATGACTGAATCAGGTTTAATTCCTGTGGTCTATCTGTATCTTGAGCCTGGGATGGTGTATGGATATTATTGTTTACTTTTCAGTTCAAATATTTGTTCAGTGGGAGGACCATTATGATATTCACCAGTAGCTAAAACTTACAGACACACAGGTGCTCCATGCATTGTAGAAAGATGATTCCAGATACCAAAGAGCATGTTTGCAGAATATCTACTTTAATCTGAATAGTAAATGTCAATTGAATGGGTGTATTTATTAGCAATTGAATACAATGGGACATTTTTTTAATAAGATTTCCTTATATAATTTGTGTGCGGTGTGTTGTTTGGTGTAATAGTGAGTTTGGAACCCTGTTACGCTGTGTTTTGTTAGCATTGCAAGTCATTCTGACCAACTTAAATATAATTTCCGAAAATGTAGTGTTGTGGCAAACATTATTAATGATTTAGATATTTGTAAGGCATAAATTCTTGGTCAACTAAAGAAATGATAAGTCAATGATTTTGTCAACAAAATGTGGGTTATGAAAAAAGCTCTCGCCATTAACTAGATTTCAGTTCCAAGCCAGAGAACAAAAGAACTGGAAAACAATGGTACACCTTTGTATCAAGACAAACAAGAATTGATCTGTGAATCAAGATTGAGAATAAAAAAATGTGCCATATTCCCATAGAACTCCTCATAAATTAAGACACAATGTCTTTATTGCAAGGAGGCTATAATGTATGATTAATATTCTTTTACTTTAATGAGACAAGAAGCTTTGCTTCGCATTTTGAGTGACTGATTTGAATCATTAGAAATAGAAAATGACATACTAATGGATTGATTGATTAATTGAAATAAAAAATGGCTATCTAGACACATAACAAAAAATACTACTAAATATAATAACAAGAGGTTTACACCTTATACTGAAATATAACTTTGGTGCAATTGCAAAAAAACACATTTATTTCTCACTCTATAAAAGTAGCAATATGTAAGATTTTCATGCAAACTCATCATTAAATGGTCCTAATATGTCAAAAGGCTTTAATAAAACCATGGTCTTTTTGAATACTTCTTTTACTTTAAATCTTGTTATTGTTTTCATCTGTCATCCAGGTTGCCAAAACTCACCACATCGAGCTAATCTCACTGGTAAAGTAACATGTGGCTGCAGGACTAAAAAAGGTCTTGTTATGATTCTCAAATCCTTAATGACAAAACAAGGAATAAAACGAGAATTTCTATAGGGGATGTTTTTGTGAAAAAGGTATTAGCCATAGATTTGTTGTTGAAAAACCTTTTGTTTATCCAGATATTATTTTCCCAGCTGGATTTGTCTGCATATCTGGCAACCTGAGGGAGTGTGGGAGAGGTTGCAGTACCACTTTTGGCCATATCTTTACATACTGGTCCTTTAAATAAGCATATTTTTAAATCACCATTGTGCTAAAAACTTTCAGCAAAATCTTAAATCTAATATCCAATAATATATATCTAATACTGACTGCATATTAGTAACAAAAGCCTCAACAACATCATTCACATTTGCAGAAAACTGCTTTGCTCTGAGGTTTCTTGTCGACAGGAGTGAAGCTCATTTGGCCTGAGGCGTGGTGACCACTAACACACGTCATGTCATGTCAGTGAGTCACAGATGTGTCTTCTGAATAAATGTGCATTGATTTGATAGAAACAGCTTGTTAATCATTACCACCACCACTGCCATTATGCAAATGCAGTGTGGGGGCTGATGGTGGTCTGTGCAGGTTATTGCCTGAAGAGGAGGTGCTAGTATCCATAGACAAACAATATCCTTTGTCATCTCAATGCAGCAGATATAACATCTGATAGATCATCCTTTGTCTTTACAAAATGCAAATAAAACTGCATTGGAGCAGTCGCTAGTATACACCTGAACTTTAAGTATTTAAATGCAAGTATTAAGCAGAAGTAATTCTAGTTTCTAGCCTCCCTGCAGACTGGTTTAACTTCCTGAAGGTTTAATTGAAGGTTAAACAACAGCTTTTACTTTGATGAAGTCTGTCCCATTCCTATTATAGATCCATGGTCTGCCCCCAAACATATATATTATGTAATTAATATAAGACATCGGTGTGTAGAACTTCTGGAACCATGAATGTATTTTGAACATAAAGAGCTGCTCCACATACCTGTGCAAACACTGGCCTCTAGTGGAAGAACGATCTATGTACAGGATGTTGTAGTTAAAAGGAGGTGCTTCTGGTGCAGGAGGGTCTTAGGAAAGAGATGATCCAGGACATTCATGGACATGGTCATCCCCCAAGACTATGAAGCCTCTTTTGTGTTTCTTAATATTGCATTACCTATATTTTAATTGTGCGATTCTAAACTGTCATGAGCATATTGAGAATTTTAAAAATCCTTTCGAGACGACTTCTGTTATGAGTCAAGGCTATACTAAAATAAATGGAATTGAATTAATAATTCATAAAATAGTAAATAGTATTTTTAGCCAGTCAACAAGACATGACATTATCATAAATCTGGAGGAATATAAGCACAGTGCCACATAGCAGTAAACACAATTAGTTTGGAGCAGTTTCAGAATTTGTGCTAGTTAACCACACAGTAAAGCAGACAATAAATAATAATATAATTCATAGAGAACAAGACAAACACACAAGATATAACACACTTTCACTGTTACATGTATATATGAATATAGTGTTTATGATTTACCAAGATTAAGGCTAGTATTAATAGTAATAGATATTTTTGAGGATGGATTCTAGAGATATTTTAAAAGTGCATTTATTTGTTTATGAAATCTGATGTTTAACATGCAATGAGATTAACTTAATAAGAGATAGATGACTACTGAAATCAGCAGAAATAAGAAATACGTGAAAGAGAAATATGTAAGAAAAATATAGGGAAACTTTGAGGGAGGCCAGGTCGCAGCTAGTTGTAGGCGAGTTGTTTTGTAAACACATCTTTCCAGAAAGGTCATAATCATAGGTGTATTATCCACAGTCTCCCCATTGATACATTATAAATCATGTAATAACAGTCATGGCCCATGGGTCACATAAAGCACATAAATGTCTGGAGTGGGTCACCCTGTGTGTTGCCTCATGCTCTGACGCTGTGTTCACCATGCATCTGTATTTTCTGTTCATTCTGCCCATGCTCTGCAGCTGCTGGATGCCCGCAGGACCAAGGTTTGTCGCTATGTTTGCACCACGTGTTGAGTGCACAACATACCGTTAGCCTCAGTGTGTCGAAATGATTCCCTCTCCCCATTAGCTTAACTGAGAAGCAAAAGACTCTCCTCTCTGTCCTGTCAACCTTTCCCGATATCCTCAATAACAGAGAACCAGAGTGCACCTAAATCACCCAATCAAATGTGTCTGCTTTCTGATACTACCCCAAAACTTCTAAACTAAATAAGGCTTGATTTTGATTTCAAGAATCATATAAATTAATCTGGTACTAATGCAAGATCATTCATTTACAGATTCTTAACATATTTGAACAATATCATTTCTAACCATTCATATTTATCACTAATTGGTGCAATTTCTTTAGACTATTTTCACCACAAAATAAATGAACATGCTATATATTTGCATATTTTCCAGTCATTAATAGACTGAAATGCTACTATTTGACTGGTATTCCAACATTATGACCACTTGTCTCACATTCAGCCCGACACACTAATATCATTGTAAATTTCTTCAGAAATGATCCTCTTGCCATTATCTTGTTTTGGACTCTACTATTCATCGGTCCTGATCTCTGCAGAACATTTGGCACTTGTCAAACTCATCTAAATTATTTGCAGTGCTTTTTTGTGTATAACTTTGTATCACATGAATATTGACGTCTCGCTCCATATTCCATCTGTACTTTTCACTTCACCTGTGAGTGGTCATAATGCTATGTTTGAATGATGTAATTGCAGCTTTTTAGGAGACAAATTATGTTGTTGAGTGATTTATTTTTGACAAACACTTAATCTTTTTTGACATTATAAAACCTTGAAGGAATAGATGGCTCCAAATGTCCACCGGTCTAACATGTACACCTCAAAAAGGTTTGCAGTAAGAGTTGTAACAATGTTGTCATCGATGTATCGACGTTAAAGCCACTTCAGCGCATGCATCCTTTACCTTGCAGTGTGTTTTCCCTCACTGTTGTAGCTAACGTTGTAAGTTTGAGTCAAGTGTCTGTGTGTCCAGCACCTCCAGATGACCATCCAGGCTCTGCAGGATGAGCTCCGCACCCAGAGGGACCTGAACCACCTGCTGCAGCAGGAGAGCGGCAACAGAGGCTCTGATCACTTCACCAGCATTGAGCTGACAGAAGAGAACTTCAGGAGGCTGCAGGCGGAGCACGACCGACAGGCCAAGGAGCTGTTCCTGCTCAGAAAAACTCTGGAGGAAATGGAGCTGAGGATCGAGACTCAGAAACAAACTCTTGGGGCCAGAGACGAGTCCATAAAGAAGCTGCTGGAGATGCTGCAGAGTAAAGGGCTTCCTCCAGGAGTTGGTCGAGCGTGTGAAGAGGAGGAGCAGGAGAGGGCCAGGCGTATCGCAGAGGCAGAGGCTCAGCTCGGACACCTGGAGGTCATCCTGGACCAGAAGGAGAAGGAAAACATCCATCTCAGAGAGGTACTCAAAGTATGACATTTTTATTCATATTTTTACAATAGAGTATCAAGGCAAGTATTTTGTGAGGTAGAACTATACCTAATGATATGAGGCACTTGAAAAGGATCAAATAGAAACAATAACATATGTTCATATTATGGTCATATTTTTTTTCCTTTTACTACAATTTTCAATTTGCATTGATAAACTCAAGAAAAAATCAAAGCAGCTTAGATTAGAGCATCCATCCTTTTGTGGACTCACCACCTGCAGGAGGATCAGTGAGGGGCTGGTGCTATGTGACTGGGTGCAGCTCTGACTGCCACCCCTCCGACCTAGTGATGGATTAAGTGGAAGAAAATGGATGGATGGCATTGATAAACATATACATAATTCTCTGTATATCAATCAATCAAATTTACTTATAGAGCCCTTTACAACACAAGGCGACCAACGTGCTATACAACAAATTTACAAAAAAAAACATTACAAAAATGTATGCATTCAAACAATAAAACAGTTAAAAAGCATTTCACTTTGGAGAGACCCAAGAGGGAAAATGCAGTTAGAAGTTTGTTGATTGAGTATGTTTGGCGCCCTAGGCCCGGGAGAGATGCTGATGAGTGCGGCGCTTGCTCGCGCGCATAATCCCCCCCGGGGCCTAGGCACTGGTGACGGCAGAGGCAGTAGGCAAGCACGCTTCGATGAGAGAAGGAGGAGGTGGGGCGGCGGAGGCTTTGCAAACTTCAGAAGGCCGGGAAAGTGGGCGTCTCCGGCTTTTAACTTGCTGTCCTGGTGGTTATTGGTGGATTAGATGTGGGCGTTTTGCTGGTGTAATGAGTAGAGGATGAGCAGGCTTGTAGATCTGGCAGCAGTGGCCGGGTCTACCACAGTGAACTTTCGCGAAGAGCTTCATTAAAAACAGTGTATGTGTATGTGTTGATAAGGATATAATGAGCAGGATGATGATGATGATTCCTGTCTTCTTAAGCCTCTTTAATCAAAGTTCTTTCTGAAAAGCAAAACTAGGAACAAGATTGACAGTTTTTTATGTCATTCTCTATCAGGAATTGCACAGAAGGAATCAGCTGCATCAAGACCCAAGCAAAACCAAGGCACTACAAACCATCATTGAAATGAAAGTAAGAACTGTTTAAAGATAAACCTTTTCATTGTACTTAATTCATTTGATGTTTTTTTTTATAATATCATGGAGGACAAATATTGATATCCAGTGACAGTGTTTGTGGGTACAGGAATGGGTTTCAACCTTTTTTATGTGTAACACGAATCTGAGAAAAAAAAACACCAATCTACTGTAGATAATCACAGGTCCCATGCTTCAAGCAGTGAACACATAATGAAGTGGAATCCTGTAAATTAAGACAAAATGTAGAAACTGTGTGAGAGCTTCCACAACTGTCTCTGAATGAGCACTGTAGAATTTACAGTATTTTGATCAAATGATCTCTACAGTGTGTGAATGATATGAGCTGGAGTGCAGTGCCTTATGCAGTGATGAATACATGTATATTTAATATGAGAGACTGAATACTATACAGTGTCATTTTGGTATTAAAATGACAAAATGTCCATTATTTTAAACTTCACTGTTCATATTAAATCAGAATTGACATTTACATCACACTTCTCATTGATGTATTTGTTTCACATTTTTCCTCTTGTTGGTTTAAATTGTTACTAATCCTACTCATCTGCTTTCTGTTATGGGGTAATCTGCTTAAGAAATAACATAAACATTGTGATCCTGATCTGAAAATGCATGTGGTTCATATGATTTGTACTTGTTGATGTTGTGTCCCACAAGTAGAATATGAAGTTGTGACTATAAATAAGTTACTTGTACATTAAGATAATTTTCAATATTTGTGTGCTGTGCAATGGAAGTTGTTGCTATGAAATGACTTGATTTGGTGCTATCAAGTTTTATAATTGTACTATTTAAGATATTGTATCATGAATAATCTTCTAGGACCAGTGTTGCTACAGGATAGGCTTCATTGCATGAAACTCCCTCCAAAGCATTTTAGCCAAGTGGTGAAAGATGCTTTTCATACTCAAGCGGCCATTCCTCCACTTACCACTTGCAGCATATGCAAATCCGTGCAGAGCCTTGTACTGAGCACTTGTGAATGCTCTGTTATGTAGCGGCTGCTTCCGTACACTGCCGATTCCTTCTCAGTCCACTGCAGAGGCTTGACATCACTTCCTTAAAATAAATCATGACATCATCGCTGAGCTGACACAGCCCTTCACTCGCTTCAGACTGGCGCCCCCTCCCCATAAGTGTCACGTGACCTCCTTTTTGCACTGGCATCCTGATGAGTTTGATTCAAAGGCTGGATAGGAAACACCCGCCTCTTGGTTTGTGTGTGTGTATGTCTGTGTATGTGTGAGAGCAAGAGAGAGAAAGATAGAGAGAGAGAGCGATAGCTGCAGGAAGCCGCTATCCCACTGTCCTGTTGCTGATAGAAGCACAAATAACCCCTCCCTGCTCTCCCTCTTCCCTCATATGCCTTGCTCTCGCTCGCTGCTCCTGCTCACTCACCAAAGACAGTGCACCGCAGCTATATAGCCTTGCCTTGCCTGCTGCTACCATGGAAACAGGTGTGGTTGTTTATGACAGTAGGAGTGTGCTAGTGAGCAGAGACATGGATATAGAGAGCGATAAAGAGAAGGATTTACTGATCAGGTTCAAGGGCCAGTGATCACATGTGGATGGAGTAAAAAAACAAACTACCAGCTGTTTGAAGGTACGCTATGTATATCTATTGCAGCCATCTGACTTTATTGATGTTTGTCTTGTAACATGGGGAGACAACGCAGAGGGAAGGAGTTGTGCATGTACATGTGTGTAATGCATTATAACACCACCACCCCATCTGTTATTATCGGCCACTCCTGCCTCCATCATTGCAATATGTGTACCTCTGGTGGTTCTTTGTATTGGTGGCTAGTAGTCCAACACTGCTCACATCCACAAGTTCACAAGTTCAAAGCCATTGTAAGACAGAGCAAGCTTGCGCTGTGGCCTGGCTGTAAAAAGAGATGGACCATGGCTAATCTTAAAGACATTGTATGATTTATTTAAAATGTCATGAAGCTAAAGCTACAAAGGCAGTCGCAGTCTTGAGCTTGTGTTCTGCATTGATCTGCAAGAACCTATACTGCAAACGCTACTTTTCATCCTCAGGCTTGGTTGTTTCACACTGATCTACTCTCCTCTCTCTGTGTGAGCTCAACCTAACCAAATGGTGACTAATCTATACTGACTGCAAAGATATAGCAAGAGACCATTTGATTTTATTGAAACTGCAGTGTTTTTGTTTACATAGCTCCACCTCACTACAAATATTATGGCTTTTACACACCTAATCAGATTTTTTAATCATTATTATTTTTTCATTACTATTGGTTTGTTAGTGAAAGAATACTTTTTGGCTTTGACTTATGTACCCGCTGTGTCTCTGCAGGATACCAAAATTGCCTCTCTGGAGCGCAACATTCGAGATCTGGAGGATGAGATCCAAATGCTAAAAGCGAATGGCTTACTGAACACAGAGGATAGAGAAGAGGAGATTAAGCAGATGGAGGTCTACAAAAACCACTCCAAGCTCATGAAGACTAAGGTACCTTGGCAGTTTCTGGAGCAGTTATCTAAAGTGAGTGTGCAGTGAGCTGATTATAGAAAGAAGCTGCTGTAACATTTAGTGACATCTGCAATGTGTTTTGTTGCCAGCTATCAGGGAGTGCTACATCCAGGCTACTCAAATGAATGACTGAAAGTGCTGATGCAAGCTTTTCCAAATGCACTCGTTGTATCTAAAGGCAGATTATTGTGTACATGTTGATAGTATTGAATTGGTCGCTGTGATGGTAAAAGCATAACATGTATCAGCATCTTATATTTTGCCAGATTTTCTGTCGTGAGCTAATGTCAGAAACATTTCTGAATGTGTTGATCTTATGTTTACAACCTTTTACCTCATGATTCACAAAGACATGCGTTGTTATTTTTAGACTGCTTTCATCAATCATAAATAGACATGATGTATAATATATGACAAAGCAGGAGAGTCTGCCCCAAATGCATTTTTAATGAGAGAAAAGATGAAATAATGTACAAGCAACTATAGTGACCACTAAACATGAATACAACATGCATTTGTGTGGTAGTAAGAGCAGACTGTCCCCTCGGTGCAGATTGACCAGCTGAAGCAGGAGCTGTCAAAGAAGGAGTCGGAGCTGCTGGCTTTGCAGACAAAACTAGAAACTCTCAACAACCAGAACTCAGACTGCAAACAGCACATTGAGGTGCTCAAAGAGTCTCTCACTGCCAAGGAGCAACGTGCTGCCATCCTCCAGACTGAGGTACCCCATTAACTTTGTATTAGCCGACTTTCTATCGTAAGTCCTATTCCATTATTTTATTTATTGATTTATTTGATAGGGACAAGTGTACGCAATCCACATGTGAAAGACTACGACATTTATAGCCAAGGCTAATTCGCAATGTCTGTCCCTAGAATAAGTGATGAATAAATAGTAAAGAAAACTTGTTTGAATCAACTCAGTTGTGTTTATAGATTAAATGAACAAAAGCAGGCACACGACTTAAGTGAAAAATAAATGGTAATCCCGAAACTTCAGCGAACGTAATCCATGCATTCTCCTTTCAAATGTTTCTCATATCAATCATTATGAAAAAGTTGAATAATTAAGTTTAACATATACACAATCAAGATCAAATATTATTTGTTGTGGAAATGATCAACTTATTTTTCTTGGTTTATCAGGTGGATGCTCTCCGCCTGCGTCTAGAAGAGAAAGAATCATTTCTAAATAAGAAAACCAAACAGCTGCAGGACCTCACAGAAGAGAAAGGGACTCTCTCAGGAGAGATCAGGGATATGAAGGACATGCTGGAGGTGAAAGAGCGCAAGATCAACGTCCTACAGAAAAAGGTATGCTTGGATTGGGTCTCTCAAAGCTTTATTTATGTTTCTTATTCCATAGCATTTTCTTATCTTTAACCAATTAGATTAGTAGCTCATCCAAATCATTTTATAGCCAACATAACAGGAGCAAAATTGTCATTTCTACATCTATACCTGGAAAATACGCAATGGCAAATTCAGATTTGACAACTAGGTGTCTTAAGGAAATCGTGTGAACCACAGAATGCTGTTAGTACCTTGAGTCTCTGGAGGGAGGAGAGCCCTTAGAAAGACCTGATATTTCTGCCTCAGTGCCTCTGGTTGTGAGAGCTATAAATAGTATTACTCTCTCTCCTCTTCCAGCATTTTGGCTTTCATCAAACCCATACCTCCCTTATACATTCATATCTGAAATACATACAATTGTCCTAATAAAAACTGTTCCTCTCTCTGTCACAGATTGAAAACCTCCAAGAACAGCTACGTGACAAAGACAAACAGCTGGGAAACCTGAAGGATCGCATCAAGTCGCTTCAGACTGACTCCAGCAACACAGACACTGCCCTGGCCACCCTGGAGGAGGCGCTGTCTGAGAAGGTACCCAAACAACAATTACTCTGAGATTATGTTATGTGCAGGTGATGTTCTAGTTTTTTCCCACTCACATGAACTATTGGTTTGTTATGTGTTATGGATCAGGAGCGGATTATTGAGCGTTTAAAAGACCAAAGAGAGCGTGAGGATCGGGAGCGTTTGGAGGAAGTGGACTCTTATAAGAAAGAGAACAAGGACTTGAAAGAGAAAGTCAACACTTTGCAGATAGAGCTGACTGAGAAGGAGGTCAGTGTCAAGCCGATGAAGTTCAAGTACAATTGCTCTTGTTTTCTAGTTGCTAATGGCCTTACCGCAGATAAACTTAAGAGTAAAAAAAGGTGTTAGAAATGATATAAGGACTTTTCATGATGTTCCAGTTTTCCAAAATAATTATATGATGGCCACAGAATCTTCTGATAACTGCATAACAACCACTTGTTTTGACACAACAAAATCAGAAGAAATAATAATAAAGATCTCTGTGAGTCTACTTCATCCTTGCATTCTTTAAAGTTCATCTGTTTAAACTATTTAACCGCACAACACAATGCGGAGAACTTGTGAAGATATTGGCTGAAGCTGATAAGAAATGTGTCAAAATACACAATAAAGCAAGTCTTGTAAACAAGAGATTATAGGGAAGCAGCTTTTACTCCGAAAACAAACATAAACAAGTCTAATTACAATTTTCCAACACACATTAACAATGCCCTCAATGTGTGGAGGCATGCCCTGTGATCTTAATGAAGTGGAACGGTTTGAACTGTTAATTTGGAGAGTTGGACAACTCTCTCGGAATAAACTATTCTGGGACTATTGTGGAAAAAATCCAAGTCTAAATGTATGTACATCTTGTATGGGGTCATAAGAAACACACCCACAAGAGATAGTTTGCTTTAGATTCAGGCAGACGGACAATTATGCAGTGCTGCATAATTTATCAACAAATGTGCCATAGTGCCTACCACTAACTAGTCTCAATACAACACATACATTTCAAAGTGATATATTTAAAACTTTGATACTATATAATATACTCAATACCACAGCAGTTATTCATAAATGCTCCTTTTGGACAATAAACTGACATTTTTCAGATCTTCAAATAAGTTGAAGCACTATAATGTATCATTAATGTCATTATGTTTATGCTATACTTGCTCCTTTTAGGGCCGAGACTAGTTTTAGCATTGGTTAATATCTGACTTTTGACAACCTAGTGCTGATTATTGTAATATCTATATATTCACAGTCCAGTCTCATTGATCTGAAGGAGCATGCCTCATCACTGGCATCCTCAGGCCTTAAAAAGGATTCTAAACTCAAATCACTGGAGATTGCCATTGAACAGAAAAAAGAAGAGTGTAGTAAGTTAGAGACGCAATTGCAAAAGGTAAGACTAACATTACCTACTTTTTTGTTTTCGCCTTTGTAATGTAGGGTTATAGAAGTACTCAATAGCTATACGTCTTTTTTATATAACATCTTAGAGGTTTACTTTGACACACATTAATGAAGGAATGTTTGTGATATCACTTTTTCAGAAAAATGTCAATACAAATCTATTCAGCAGAGTAACCACAGAGTCGCTGATGACACCATTTTTCCCTTATCATAGTATTAGCTGACGATACAAATCTACACTGAGCCAGAGATTTGATGGTGTCTCATTATTAGAACGTTAGCATATTACCTCCCATTATGCACTTGGCTCCCCCTAGCAGCTGCAGCTTGGTCTGACCAATGCAAGAAATGGCCAGACGTGACAATCCATAGATAGATACCGTAGTTGGATAGATAGATTGCTACCTGGAAATGAAAAAAATTGTAGCTGTGTGTTCTCACCTGCAATACAATTTTCACATGACTACTACATTACCTTCTTTTGTCCGTAATATAGCAAGCCGAGCACCTATTCAGTCACTTAAACAGTCCAGTAAGTCCCGTAGGCCTTATGCACACTAGCATGAAGACACTTTTGTTGATATCAGTGAAGTGGTGATTATCACATAGTTATCACCCGTCCAGACGCATGGACACGGCACACTTCTCTACAAACTCTTGCAATAATTTTACAATGGCACCAGCACGCTCAAATGTGTATAGCAGATCAATAGTTGTGTGTAAATTTTGTTGTTTCTGTGTATGTAATCCTAAGGCACAAGATGAAAATCAAAAGTATTAATTGATTAGAAAATTGACACTATTGGATAATTATCACGTACTGTACAGTATGTTGATATATTGGCCTGGCTTTTGTTGCTTTTCTTGTGTGACAGGAGCTTTTGTCGGATTTGCATGATGGCTATAGTGCATGTTGCTTTATTTGACACATTTCTGAAGTTGCTTTTGCTCTTTTGTTGAAATACAGTAGATTGATGTTGTTGTAACCTGTGGGCACATGTTTTGTGGTGGTTGCAAACTTGGAGCATTTTGTGTGTTGTTGTTACTATAATGGTTTGTGGGCTGTAGCTTTTTATATTATTTTAGCAACTATAATGGGTTGAGGTAAACTTATCACCGCCCTAGGGTCAGTGGGACAGAAAATGCAGTAAATAAAAGACAGCAGTGGCAACTAAGAATTTTTAAGTTACTAACCTTTTCCTGGTAGATTTTTTTTCTTTTGTTCCTCACTTTAAACCCAATTATTAGTAATGTATCTCTACTTTTTGAAACGGGTCAGGGTAAAGTTTGTCCAATGTTCTAATGGACTAATACAGGTGTGGTTAACCATGCTTCTCAGTCAAATAATTAATTGTGGTTAGCCAGGCTTCTAAGTGCAGTGTAAGATAACAGCTGCATTCATAATCTCTGGCAGATAGAAACACTTCTACAATATATAACATGTGTGTTCACAAGCAACAATTAAGTACATTTTCTTTTACTTTAGTCTGGGAATGACTTTCATACTTTCATACAAATATCTAGTGATACTAAAGCCACCTCTAAAACATGAGTTCTAAAGCTACTATAGAGCAACATGATGAACATAAGGTCTTGGATTGTACTAATTCTAAAGTGATAATGTCCCAGATTATTGCTAAAGGAAGCTAAAAAAATATCTGTTGAAAATAATGAGCCATCAGCAACAATAAGGCCCTTGTCCTCAGCCTTTTGCTCATTCACAGAGTTGGAAGCATATTGTCTTGTGATTGTTTTGTATGGCAGACATATGTGTTTCTATGTTTGGACGCAGAAAGCCCATGAGGTGGAGCATCAGACGGGGTCCAGAGTAAACCCTGACTTCTCTGATCGAGTGAAGCTTCTGGAAAAAGAGATGGGCTACTACAAAGACGAGGCCAACAAGGCTCAGACGGAGGTGGAGCGACTGCTGGACATTTTGAGAGAGGTGGAGACAGAGAAGAACGATAAGGACAAAAAGATTGCAGAGTTAGAAAGGTACTTTGACATACAACATGCTAATTAAAGAAATACATTGATGGACTGTCAAATACTTCATGTATATCTCAACCCAGTGCAAGGGAATATACTGTTCATGTACAAAAGTATAATTCCAAAAGGCATAGTCTCAGAACAAGAACCCAAAAGCTGTTTGGTGTCTGTCATTATGGTTTACGTTTAAGTGTTATTGGAATGTATTATTTATTTCCTGCTGTTGTTGCTATTTATTTACCATCTTTATTTATGTGCTGTCTTTTTTCCTGTTTTTTGTTTCTTTTTGTATTTTGCCCATCTGTCTGATTGTGTTGTACCCTGGACACAGTCCCCCTCCCCATCCCCCTCGACACCCTCCTTGGCCCAGTGGCAGAGCCCCCCCTGACCCTCCCTCTGAGTCCGCTACTCAACAGCATATTGGGGGTATGGTGTGGGGCCTCCTGGGAAAGTGAGTGCTCTGCCCTGGTTCTACAGCTCAACATGTGGCTTCTGCATTGGGTTTACTCCCATTGAGCCTGTCTGGTCTGTGCTCTTCACTAAGAGGAAGCCTCTGACTGATAAGATCTGCAGATCTTCGCTTGTTGCTCCCATTTAGCATGTTTTCTGATGCATGTGGCATTATCATTAATTGAAACAGAATCAAAAGTGTTCTTGTTTGACTGAGATTTTGTATACAATATTTAAAATTATTAAGAAATGCTTAAAATGATAACACTAGATGCAGTTCTATTATGCCTTGAGGTCATCGGCTCAATCATTAGTAATATGTCTATAGTAATGTAGATAAGCAATGGGCTGAGTATAGGGTTGTACTGGTTTATTGAAGGATTATTGTGGAAATGCTGTTGTATTTTGTGTAAGACCTTTTCAGCATGTGTTTTCCTTCCCAAATTAGCCACACATTCCCTACCTTTCATTCCTATCAGGCTCAATCCTTTTAAACTATCCTTGCCCTGCTTGACGGCCTGCATGACTGAAGGTGTTACTGAGGTGTAATGTAAGGTGAACCAAGTGGACCAAGGTTTGTCTTGTCTGGGAACATAACTGACTTCTTTCCTTTTGAAATTCACTGCTCTACTCCTCTGTCCTTTGTCCCGGCTGAGTTGGCCCTGTCTGCCTGCATGTCTGTCCCAGGCTGCAGAAGACAAGACTGTCAAATGCATCATGTGTCAATGTGGCAGCTGTTCACAGGTGCCCATAGCGTGATGACTGCATTCTCCTAAACCCCTTATGTACTGTACCTATTATGTTGTAATATGTTTCCTACATTGTTCTTTGTGTGTCCTGACTTTTGGCTTTATTTCTCCTGGATTTTCTTTATTCAATCACCCTGTGTGCAGTTTAGCTCCCAGGTAAGTTGCTACAGTGGTGCTCACCTAAACCAATACAATTATTGCTGCAAATCTTCCAAGTTTCAGTCCATTATCTTGGATTCCCAAACACATAAATGAACACAGAACATTGTATTTATTTATATTTAGTGATTTTACTGCATTGTATTTTACAGACAAGGTGGAAAGGACCAAATTAAGAAAGGACAAAACATAAAATTGGGGCCACAAGGAGACAAGAAGGATCCTCGTAAAGACAGCACTCTGGATGGAGGACACCACCTAAAGGTGGATATTCTTCCCATCAGTAATTGTCTCATTTGTGTATTTGATAAAATTACATATTTTTCAGTTGGAGGATCTGATGAACACACTGGAGAGGACCAGGCAGGAGCTGGATGCTACAAAGCAGCGTTTGTCGTCCACACAACAGTCTCTACAGGAGCGAGACTCTCACCTCACCAACATGAGACAGGAACGGAGGAAACAGCTGGAGGAGATCCTGGAGATGAAGTCAGTCAGCCACAACGCCACTGAGTTTGTTTGTTGTTTGTATTAAAATTGCTTTTGTTTTCAGACAACAAGCTCTGCTGGCGGCTATCAGTGAAAAAGATGCTAATATTGCTCTTCTGGAGCTCTCTGCCTCCAACAAGAAGAAAACCCAGGAGGAGGTGATTGCCCTCAAGAGGGAGCGCGACAAACTTATGCACCAACTCAAACAACATGTAAGAAACTGCTTATTTAATCAAGTTTTAATTCTGCCTGCTTTCTTATGCAGTAGTTTAGAATACATATAATATGTATTTTCCAATGGATCAATATACGTAATTGTGTTTAACACTTTTGCTTTACTCTCGCAGACTCAGAGCCGAATGAAACTGATTGCCGACAACTATGAGGACGAGTACCACTTGCACGGCCCTCATCATCCTCAGGCACAGCCGCCTCACGCACAGCCACAGTCGCAGTACCCGCACCCCGGTCACCCAGCACAGGCTCAGCATCCCCACGGACCCCAGGCGCACCAGGGACACACACAACCCCAACAAGCACAGTACCCACACCCCACACATCCACAGCAAGTGGTCCCGCACCCTCAAGGGCCGATCCCACATCAACAGCACCCACGGCCGCCTGGACCACAGCACCCACACCCTCAGCACCCTCAGCAGCACCCACACCCTCAGCAGCACCCTCAACAGCACCCTCAACAGCACCCACAGCAGCACCCTCAACAGCACCCACAGCAGCACCCTCAGCAGCAACCTCACGGACACCCCCCCTCCCAGCACCCGCACCCACAACACCCACACGGACCTCCACAACAGGGACCCCACCCTCAGCACCCACACCCACAACAGCACCCGCCACATCCGCAGCACCCTCAGCACCCACACCACGGACAGCACCCTCGGCACCCATCTCCTCACCATCGAGGAGGTCCACAGAGAGGTCCGCCTCACCCTGGCCACCGGCCGGCCCATGACCAGGTCAGACTTAACGTAAACAGTCTCAGTTTCATCAATAAATACTATAGTAGTTTCTCCTTCTAAATCATATTCAGTCCTGTGTAAGATTGACACATTGAAACTAATATTTGTTTCATTGTTTTAATGTTCTTCTGAACTATTCAACTGAAGGATGACGAGGAAGGTATTTGGGCATGAATCCAACTGCAACGACCAAATCTTATGTTGTTATGAAGGGTAAGAGATCTTGTTTTCTTTATGGATTTGTTTAAAATTAAAAAAAACCTTGAATAAGCGTTACATTTAATTTTTTTCCTCCTTTTTGCAGAACATTCAGTCACTACTGGGAGAGCAGAGCCACAAAAACACAACCAAACATTTTTTTAACACATTTGTTATCTGTGCAGCGGGGCCTTGTTTTGTGAGACTACTTTCCACTCTGGCATGGGGCTGGCAGCAGAGCAGGTAATTTAGCATAGTCTCTTTTACTATGAGCCGTTCTTAAATACCTGTTTTGTATTTTTTCAGGGAACAGATGTCTTTTTGCTTCTCTACATGATCTCTACAAACTACTGTTGGACTATTGCTTTGAAATGTCTTTGGGACTTTCCATTGGGTGTTGAATGCTGGGATATTGAAGCGAACACAGCCTCTCATGATGCAGGTCACCGTGACAACCTTCACTCTGCTGCCTCACGGTTTAGTTGACATTAAATTGCATTGCCATCGTTATCATTTATCTGGCTCTGACTGGCTCCCATGCCTGACTTACTGCCCCGCTGACAACATATTCCTGCTTTTCATAGCGTGCACAGTCAACATTGCCATTTTATATATTTATGTATATATTTTAGCATGGTCCTATTCTAATTTATTTTGTATTGCCTTTAAAATTCCAGACAGGAATTAGCTGTCAATGGTCTTTTCATGTTACCTCATTTAAAGAAATGGTAGTAAAACATTAAAAGATAATCTATGCAGATGACAACATAGAGTAAATGAATCAACAATATTATTTGTCATCCGTTTCATTCACAAGTCCAATTATTTTGTGACTATGCACCTATGCACCTCTTCTTCGATGTTGCAGGAATTTTAAACTATTGGTGCTTTTGCTGGTGCTTACGACTAAAAGGTGTCAAAAAGATCTGACCCAAAAATCTCTTTTTTGAGGGATTTACCCCAACTGGGCTAAAAAAAACAACAGACTGCTATGTATATACAATCAGAAAAATGGAGAACGGTGTGCCATGAACGATACGGATGTGCTGCTACTATAAATGCAAATGTAGACTGTAAGGAAAAGGTGACATTTATATGATGGTGAAAGCAGGTCTGTTTAGCACTGACAGTACCATGCTTATATGTCTCCTTTTCTAGAAGTGTGAACTCCCCAGACAACATAGTGACTCGTTTTATTTTCTTCTTAACAAAGTGGCCTGTGCCTCGTAAAACTGTAAAGACATTATAATAGATATGCATATATTATAAATATAGAGAGAAATCTATATAGTGTGTCTATATGTGGTCAGAAAAATGTTTCAAACTGACAGATAAATATATGTAAATATGTGTAGCCTCATTGGTTATTTTTCTAACTGGCCAGAGGTCAGTAATAAGTTATTTTGAGAGTTTATTTGATTAGATTTTATCCCTCAACAGCAGTAACATTCCCTGTCTGAAAATTCAGGACAGCCAAAAATATAGAAAAAGTCTACCGTGAGAAAAGTGAAGCGTATCCAAATCTAGACATTATTACATTCCTTTTTTTAAACGTCTGTTTGTGACCATTTGGCCTGTGGTGTACTTCTGCAGCTGACACAAACGTTTGGTCATGAACTTGCACTTGGACTATCACAAAGAACAATCCCAGCGGAGGTTTGAGTAACTCTGTCCGGATGCATTATATTTGAGTGTTTGTTGTCTTGTTGTCTCGTGAACAGAATAAGTGCTGTATGTGCCGGCTCAAAACAATACAAAACTAAAACTTACAGTGGAACACACTCTAGACTGTTATGTTCTCTTCTCAACCAATGTTTCTCTATGGCCAAGTGTTTCCTGTGTGTAGTGTCTGTCCATCTTCCACCAAGACCGAGGTGAACCACACATCTCATTTTATGCTTCCCTCATGAACTTGGACCACCCCAGTCACTGACCAAGAATCGTGACATTGCGTGAAATGTTTTATAATTTTTTTAACGGAAAAAAGTGTATCTCACAAAGGAGTAAACGGAGTAACGATGCAAACAGACAGAGGAGCAAAAAAATCCTTACTTTACCACCAGGGAGCATTCTGGTCCTTATCTTCTGAATACTTGAAGTAGGGGTTCTCCTACAAAGAACAAGCGCATACAATTTAGGCGATAGAAGTGGCCATGCATGCTTCTTTTTACATTATGTGCCAACTGGAAGCGATGCTGGAAGGGTTTTCCTCCTGTTCTCTATGCAGCGAGGTTATGAGAAAAGCTTCAAAGCTGAGACTAATCCTAGTTTTGAAGGATACATATTTTTTAGGACATTTTGATTTTATTTTTTCTTTGTGTCTGTGCCTAGAAATCACAAAAAGTAAAATAGAGGCCTGTTTAATGCTGAGACGCCTTGCATACACTGATTAGGGATAACATTATGAATGAAAGCACAGATCATATCTTCATCAAGGTGTGTCATAGTCTCAAAACCTACAGTTTGTTTGATGGCTGAGTTGGAAAAAAAGTGTGATTATGGGCGGCACGGTGGCTGAGTGGATAGCACTCTCGCCTCTCAGCAAGAAGGTCCTGGGTTCAAATCCCGGCCGGACCAGGGCCTTTCTGAGTGGAGTTTGCATGTTCTCCCCATGTCTGCGTAGGTTTCCTCCGGGTACTCCGGTTTCCCCTACCACTAAAAATATGTCCAATAGTTCTAGCATGCGCCTCCTGTACTGGCCCCGCTCCCATCTCTGTGTGGAGTGAGAGACAAATGCCCAAAATTAACAATTGTAAACCGCTTTGAGACTCAGATCTGCAGTGAAAAGGCGGTATATAAATAAAAACTTACTTACTACTTACTTACTTACTAATTATGACAACGATAATAGTTGAAGTCACTCAAACGTGATGTTTTAGTACATCAGCCTTAACATTGCATTTATTGTTCCTAAAACCTGACATACATTTGGAGACACAACTCTAAATTTGTATAAGCAACTGAAAAGCAGTCCTAATGTTTTTCCTGATCGGTCAGGCCTCCGCACACTCATGTTTAATTTATGTTGCTGAGATGAAACTAATCACTGTGACCATAAATGACAAACCATATGTTTACTTTTTTATTCTTTGTATATTTAAGTTCTACTATCAAAATGCCAGATTGAGACTACTACTTACTCTTTGTACAAGTTGATGTTTTGAACTGTACAGTAAAGATCTAGGAACATGTTAACTGTGAGTGTCCAGCATGCTGAATGAAAACTCGTGTGGACGTGAGCAACCTCCCATGATGCACCATTCCTCGCCCATTATTGCATCTGCCTCATACATAGTGACGGTGCGACGTATTGTCTGAGAGTGATGTCTGTCTCACTTACTGTGTCCCTTTAGTAGACAGCCTGTGCAGTTTAGTGAGAGTGGCGCATGTTTCCGGCTCACTGGTGTAAATGTACAGAAAAGAGAAGGATGAATGTTGGACAAGTACGTACGTGCGTGACTGAATTGTGAATGAAAAGAGAAAATCTATTGAAAAACTAAAACAAAGAGAAACTGGCTCAAGGTTTAAATTGACGCATGGATTCTCTGTAATGTTTTTGTTTCTTATTTTTTCACGAGGCTGTCCTCAGTTCCCCTGTTTGCTATTGTATGTGGTGTATCAGAATATTATTATTGAGTGTTGGCCAGCTTGTTTATATCATGAAATAAAGGTGAGTTTCTTTCTGTCTTTGGGTGTGTCTTCTGTATTCTTCAGTAGTAGGAAAATAAGTAGAAATACCTGATATAAAAATAATTCAAATCATAATAATTATACACAATGTTGTTTTTTTCCCCAACAGAAAGAGTGTTGTAAACCTATAATATTGTGAGCAAATCAAACCACAACCTCCTGTAACCTCATTTAACCTTTTTTTCTGCATACTTAGAAAAGAAGTATGCAGAAAGAAAACCCTGTGAGTCAAAGGCCAAAAATACAGGAAAAATCAGTGATAGAATAAAACAGTTTTAGAGTCAGGGCCCGGTTGCATGGATTGTACTTATGTATGGCTAACCATCTCCAACATGTATGTGTTGGCATATGTAACACTGGACACTTTTTTTGTAATGTGGCTTTGATTTTACAGTATCTGAAAAAAGACATACATATACACACATTTGCCTGAGAATAAAAGGTGTAAAAGTAAGAAGTTCTCGAATAAAGTAGACGAATTGGGGAATAACTACATGAGTGCAGTATTGAGTAAAAAAATACGGATAGCTTTTCTCACATGAATTACAGCAGCCGTGGTTTATAGAAGGTTTATTATTCAAAATGTATACTGTACAAACACTTTCATTTTAATATTGTTCATTGCATTTGTCAGTTTTGAACCTACTCCTTTAAAATGAGCAAAAGGCCTTTAACAATGTCAAAATGATTAACTCGACAAGTCGGGAAAAAAGAAAGGAAGCAGTTCAAAGTCTAAACATTTAACGTCCTTTTATAAAGCTGTCCAGAATGCGATCACTTCTGTCCGAAAGCCAATACCCCGCCATTGCTGCTATTGCCCCGATCAAAATGGAGGTGTATACCAGGTCTCCTTTGGCCGCCATTGTCCCGAGAGCACACAGCAGGACCCCCATGAACATCTGCTGCAGGACCACCACCTCATCGTCCTGGATGTCCTCAAACAACCCTTTGTCAAGGTCACCTGCCGAAAACAGACAAGATTATAGTCAAATGAGTTGAAATGAGAGAAACTATTCATCCCACAGAGGGGAAAAACAATCCAATAATAACTACATTGATGTCTTTGCAATATCACTGTTGTTTGTTGAATAGTACTTGTTTTACAAATTATCTGTTGTGTCATTGTTTCACCATCTTTGCAATATTATAAACAGTATTCAATTCAATGTATTCATATTTTGGAAAGCTTTAGCTAATAAGTACTTCTTTAACATTTGCATTTACTTAAAACATTTTCAATGAATCCCCAACAGCATAATGCTAGTGAGAAAAGGATAAGGTAAAGGTTAATCCCTGTAGGGCAATTCATCCTCTGCATTTGAACCATCCTGATGCCGCTAAGGAGCAGTGGTCGCCGTAGTGCAGCGCCCGGGAACCCATCTCCAGATGTAGATGCTCGGCTTGGTCAGGACTACCGGAGCTGGAGGATATAACCTAGTGAGCATGTTTTTAGTGATAGGGGAAACCGGAGTACCCGGAGGAAACCTACGCAGGCACGGGGAGAACATGCAAACTCCACTCAGAAAGACCCTGTTCCGACCGGGATTCGAACCCAGGACCTTATTGCTGAGAGGCGAGAGTGTCATCTACTCAGCCACCGTGCCGCCCTAGAGAAGAGAACTTATTCTTTATTTGTCCCACAGTGGAGAAATTTCAATGTTGCAGCGCACATACAGGACATAGTAGGAGCACACAGGGCGCTGCTATGTTTCTTAGCTAGCAGTACATGCTTCAATATCAATGTATCTTATATATATCTATCTTTATACAACTTACCTGGCAGTTGCTTTTTCACACATGCGTGGTCTTTGCGGATGAACCCCTTTGCACAGTCACAACGAAACGTGCCTTTAGTGTTGACGCAGATCTCATCCAAACCAGGACAGGCCAGAACCAACTCACTGCATTCATCTTTGTCTATTCACACACACAAAAATTGAAATCGATAATGTTCACGAGAGATAAACAACTTCTAAAAAATAACACTTTTAATTCAAACTCATACCCAAGCACCTGGTCCCTGTTAGTCTATATCCGGAGGCACATTTCCTGCACCGGGCTGGTCCACCGCCCATACAGCCCACACACGCCGCATCACAGTCTGAGAAAGAACATCACTTTTTAACAGATGGAAGAGAAAGTGACAGCATCCATTTGATAACTGTGTTCTTGGCCCCTTCCAGGCCTTGCCGTATGCTGTATATAGCATGTAAATCTTATACACCATTCTTAAAGGCACACGATGGGGTTACGTAGTGCCTAGTACAGTGGTTTCTTAAATTTAATATATCTACGTATTTTACAAAATCTGAGGTTTTTTCTCCAACATCAATGAAATTATTGAACCACAAGCCCTTCATTGAGTCATTAAATCTCCACCCAGCGGATGTTCCACCTCTGCTGCTGGGACCTAAAGGTGTTTTAATACTATTAGCTATTTTTAGAAATACTTATTTATTTGTTTTGTCTGCATGGATATATGCTACTACTGGACTCCTGAATTTCTCCTACGTGGATCAATAAATAATCGATCTATCTAATAAAGTACGACACGAAAACGCATATTTCCGTGTCGTATGTTGTGTTGCTCTGGTTTCCCCTAAAAACATGTACAAAGCGACTATAGATGAAAGCCAGCTTCGAGCTAATTCTGGTCTTTTTACGGCAGTGAAATAACTAAGCTAAGCACTGGGCTTGTTCAGTCGATGGATGGGAGACTGCTGAGAATAGCAGATGCAACAGAGGAATGACTGTAGCTTTAAAGGATAAACCGTTGTTGTGTCCTTGGGCAAGACACTCGCCTACATTTTCCAGGATGAATCTGATGTGTTAGTGATCGGTCAAAGAGGGCAAAATGGCAGAATCTCTTATGTCAGCCCCAGGGCAGCTGTGGCAGCAGTAAGCACAGCCATATGGTGAATGCAATATGGATATTGTAAACGAATGAATGAATGTTGTAAAAGGAGATTATTATAAATCAAATATATTTCTCAATATCTTGTCCAAGAGTGTCCAAGAGTCAAAAAAAAATCCCTAAGGGTACAATACATCTGTTCAATAGTCTGGTCTTTATTACAAAGGAAAAAACATTGCAAATTATGTTAACTAATAGGCAAGGACAAACTTGCCTATTAGTTTTTAAAGAAGTAACATATTGATAATTGACTCTGATAATAAAAACTTACCTCTGCACTCATAAGATCCAGCCTTATTGAGGCAGTAGCTGTCTGAGGAACACACACCCAACTTGGTGCCACACTCGTCAATGTCTGAAAAGATATTGATTCAGACCTGATATTATGAGATGATATAATGGCACAGTACCTACACATGTGCCATTATGGAGAAGCCATCCTCTCCCACACTCATCGCACTGGTCTGAAGTGGAACATTTGCTGCAGGACGGGGGACAGGTGCGTGTCTCAGTGGTCAGCACGCAGCCCAGCCAAGCAGCGTGTAGAAGGACCCACACAAGCCTCCACACGCCCCTCTCAACCATCTGCTCACCAAACATGAAGGCATCTATTACTGCACCCTGCTTGTCTAGTTTGGTTCACATAAATATTAGAGGTTCAAATACCTTTTGTCATTGTTATAAACTTAGTGGTTAGCCATGCATGTCAACCTACAACAGTATATACAAGCATAAATAGTGGGTTTTTCATTCTACATTTTCTCCCTTATCATATGGCAAACATTATGACTGAACTATTTTTCAAAGCTCTTTAGGGAGACATCTTTTGAATCAGACACAGTTTAACATTATTCACAAACACATAAACATGTAATCAGGTATCAAAATGTTCTTTTTTTCTTATATAGCCAGTTCACCTACCACTGTTCACTCCGTTTGACACTGGGCTCAAAGTAAACTACAGGGTCATCTCAGAAGTGTCAACATGGCTGTTGACTGACTACACCATGAACCAATGAGATGTCATAGAGTCACAGCAAACAACCAGTCTCTGCTTGGGACCTGCTCAGCTCAAAATAACACGGTATTTATAGAATACAAAAAATGTTGGTGAGGGGATCTGGCGAGTCCATCATTTGGGTACAAAAATAGAAAAATTGTCAGCGCACAAAATGTTCAATATTATTATTGGTGTAAACATAAACACAAGCAACAAAAAACAATATATCTAACACAGCAATACTGGAGTTATAGTGATGCCCTGGTACGTCGGTAAAACTGGCAAAGGAAAGCCATCTTGATAAATAATCTTTATACAATGGATGTGATAGATGATTTCTTCATTTAATCCGCAAAACACTGAAAACAACTATGTTCATATTTGCTGCAAGAGTCTGGTTTCAGTTTCCCATGTTTTAGAGTGCAGTGATGCATCACACTCTTTACTTTTGTTTCCTGAATAATCCCTTGTCCACCTTCCTCTTTTTGTCCATCTCTGTGTTTCTCCCACACACAAGTCTGACAGCAGAGCTTCAGTCTGCGACGGCAACATGAACAGACGGAGTCCCTTGAGGATCTCAGGTAATTTATTGACGCAGACTTTTTCCTCTTTCCATTGGGAATCAAATGTGACCAGGACAAAGTGCTCTGTGGCTGTACCCTGGTTCTTGAAGGCCTGAATGGCAAACAGAGACGCTCTGAAGACATCTGAGTAAGGAGATTCATCATGCAGGTCTGGACTGTCCACAGCACTCCACCCAAGAGCCTTGTTCACAGCTTTAGGAGTGAGCACCAGCACCACACGCTCACAGCTGCTGTCCACACTGAACAGCTGACAGTGGGTCCAGGGCAGAGGTCCTGAGCTGAGCTGCCCTCTACGGCTCCACTGATCCACAGTCACACAGAAACCTCTGGAGCAGAGCAGAGAGCCCAGGCTGCAGACTGCAGATGAGACATCTCCATCGCTGTCTGGAGGACTCAGCACCAGCACTCGAGCTTTGTGAACTATCACAAGAACAACGTCTGCATCAACCACTCAATCCACTTTGTGAAATTAATATACAAACAACACTTACTTTTGACAAATCCCCCATGACGCCAGCTCCACACTGACTCTGGAAAAGAGTTGTAAGAATAAGTAACAAGTAAATTGCATACAGATTACAGACAGAAAAAAAGTAAATTAAACATACTTTTGATAAAGTCCCTAAGGCAAAAGGTGATCAGGAGAGCTACAGTGAAGAGCAGCATCATAGCCACACCAAAGACACTCCAGCGCCATCGATGGACTGAGGGAACATCACAAAAGATCAGCAGGTCTCGCCCATTGAGTAGTTTTTTTATTTTTAAATCATTATCACACTTACTGCTGTTATAACAATATGGCCCCATTTCTTCCTTAACTCCTTTGATCTTTAACTTCACAAAGTATGTCATGATTAATATTTGTGTATGATTAATTAATTCATTTATTAAGAACCATATCCTACCATAACACAAGGGTGATTTTTTAGAGTTATGTTAGAAAAAACGTCTGTTTTCTCCTGAAAGTCAGAAAGCAGAGTGTAAACACAACACAGAAAGATGAGTTATTTTCATACAAAGTGATACAAAATGTAATATACCAGACTGGCCGTTTGGTCAACAGGCACAAGTAACAAAGTGTGTAATAAGCACACATATAACTGTATTTCTTACCCAAAGACCCGTGCTACTTTTCTCCCATTGGTCTTTGCCTATTTGTTGCCTAAAAGTCTCTATTTCAGTGCAGACGTGGTGACCTCTAGTCCTCTTGCAGGGCCACACTTCTCCTTCCAGCCAGCAGGGGGCAGCCATCTTCCACCGCAGTCTCGTGATAGACTTGTAAATGTTATTTTCCACAGTCAGCGTGAAGTTCTTCAAAATATTTGGACCATGGTTAATTGCTGGAAGTGTAGGTACATCAGGTTAGTTAAACAGTTAAAAAGCAAAGTAAACAAAATGATACAAATATTTACTCAGGTTGTTTTCGAATGGGCAGGTTATGGAGCGCAGCTGTGGGTCCGTGTGTTTCCACGCCTTATGTACACATAAACATGGTGAGTTTTGTTGTCTTTTGTTTGTTCAGTGCATGAAAATGTAACAAGAGAAGTGGATAGACCATGGATCCTACCTGGAAGCACGTACAAGGCGCCATGGAATCCAGAGGCAGAGGTTTGTTATCCCACAACTACACGCATAGGAGCACAAAGCAAATCTAGATGAACAAACTCCTGATTATCTTTCAATTTAAAACGATCATAATGCCAGCACCAGTACCAGCATGGGGATTTTATACGGGTCCACTATTTATCAACTTGGTAGCTCATACTCTGTGTTTATCATCATTGAAATTTCTCTGTATAAACTGTTTGATTCTCTAATCTGTGTTGGTAAATCGACAGTTTTTTTGAAGTCCACTCAGATAACTACAGTTAGAGCTATTAAAAAATTTAATGAACTAGAGCAGTGTCTCCCAAAGTGGGGTCCGCGGCCCCCTGGTGGGCCGCGAGGGTACTGCAGGGGGGCCGCGGGAGGTCATAAAAAAAATAAAAATAATAATATTATTATTTAATGTTAAATTTATAATGTTTTGTTTGTAATATTAAAATATTTGTGTTCATTATTTGACTTGAATAATCCACTGTAATCATTTTTGTATTACAATGTTTGTAGCAGAGGCTATTTCCCCAAAATAAAATAACCAGAAGAGCCTATTCTTAATGTTGTCTTCTTGGTTATTATTTTGGGGGGGCCACACAGACCCGACAGATTTTTAAGGGGGCCTCGGTGTTACTGAGTTTGGGAATGGCTGAACTAGAGTATGGGAAGAACAAGACTCCCGCCCCATGGAACCTAGCTGATAATCTTACCATTATAGGCAGTAAAGTTACAAAAGTAGGGGGTAAGTATGTGAAAAAGTGGCGCAGGTTGTAGCAGTTATGGAAACATGGTTCAGAGGTTCTCAAATAGACAAATGCCCTGAAAGAACAATGCGGGCAACTCAACTTTGTAACCTAGTAGTTACAGTTGGTTTGTGTCCAGACTGTGTATGATCTCTGTCAATCATCTGTGAAATGTCATAAATCAATGGATTGACAACCTCATTCAGCTGCGCAATTAATAAAACCACATGTACAATAACACCATCTGTATATTTTATCTGTATTGTTTATCTAGTTATGAAAGCAAACTTAATGAACTGTATGCCAACAAATTAAAAGCAAATACCACACGTCACCATCAAGCTCTCACCTTGCAGTCGCCTTCTGTTTCATTCTGGATGCACACTTGGTTAGTACTGGTGTCATTGTCACGAAAACTCAGCTCCACATAGTTTTGCTTCTTGTTGATCAAAAAGCTTAATTTGGGAACTGAAATTTGACTTAAGAAATGTGAAAATGCAAAAATATATATATATATATATATATATCTTTTACCATGGGTACAGGCGACTTACCTTTGCACTCCTTTACATAATGGCTTATGTTGGATCTACACACTGAAGGGAAATTAAAACATTTTATATGAACATATTTTTTACAAGACAACAGTGATAATTGACTATTACCTTGTGCAAGCAAAGGAACATCAATTTTACTGCGTATGTTTGGCGCTTCAGGTGACTCAATCAAAAGAATGTTTTCATGGGTAAATTTAGCATTGAAGACTGTCATAGAAATCTGTGAAATACATTAATTTGTACACTATTAAGAGCAATATTTCCAATTACCTATACTAACTTCAGAAATAAACACGACTCCCTATAACATTGGGTAATGGATTCACTTTTGAGTAATAATAATAATGTATTTTTATTAAATGGCTCATTCAAAACAAGTGAAGACACATGAGCCTAAATATGCAGCATTGTAACAGAGCTAAATTCTATCCTTTAGTCCCGGCCTCAGTCAAAGCCAGTCACAGAGGTCATAAAAAGGGTCTGCTCTCTTGTAATTTTTCCACTTCCATCTTCTGAATATACGATCCGTAAACACATGTGATGAACATACCTGTGCAATGCTCTGCTGAAAAGACCTGCTTTGGTTTACAGCAAACTGCACCATTTTACATATGGGGAATGTTTCTTGTGTTTTGTAACACACTGTCACAGAACACATTTCATCTGAAAACACAGAGATAGTTGCGAACATATTAGAACAAATGATTTCACATAGCTCATAATGATGCATTAAAGGGTAATTAGGCCCATTTTACCATACCATTCATAATTTTTTTTTTTTTTTTTTTTTTTTATTTATTCATTCCGAGCAAGTAAGCGGGCATAGAAATAATTAGTTCAAGCAACTTAGGTACATGTACAAAATATAACAAAGGAGTAATAACAAAAAGAGTGAGTGATACTAACATAACATTTATTATAATGACATTCTTGTTCTTAACAAATGGAGGTAAGCTACCAGTGACCTACTCACATGTTTCAATGAAGCTCATTTACAGACTACAAAAAACTAAGGCTCTCTAAGAGGCGAGGTGAAAGATGAGCCAAGCTAGACAGACCACACAGCAACTAAAGGAATGGTAAAGGATTCTGATCAAACTCTCTAAAGATGCAGTTACGGATCGGAGAGGGTCACATCCTCAAGCTAAGCAAAAAGAGAATAAGGGTTTTCTGCGGAACTTGTTCAGTTTTGCACATCAGCTACTTGATGAGAAGCAAAGCAGTTCTCTGAATATTTTTTATAGAGGATTAAGAACAGCACATTCAAACAGCATACTCAGATGTGATACACCCCTGGTTCCCCGTCCATCAGCTCTAATTGTCCAATTTGGCCTTGAGCCCCCAAGGCTTAACAAGATCAGAGGTGTTAATAAGAATACAAAATGCTGGATTTTTTGTTTAAACCTAATCCAACTCCATCAGCCAGTTTAGAATCAAAGCAGTGCTTAATGTGGAATGCAAAGTTTTCTTAAATGTAATGGCAAAGAGAATGGCTAGCTTTCTTCTGGAGAACAGCTATTGACACGAGATGGAAAAAAGTAGAACTCCCTTGCTTTCCAGTTAGAAAACGCTTCAGTGATCTGGGAGCAGAAGGGGGAACAGGGAGACCTACATGTATTTTGGCTTGATCTAGTAAAAGAACCCTATTGTTCTATCTGTGAAACTCTGTCAGCACTTGTGCTCTGCAGCAATAAGGTTCTGGGTTCAATTACACCTCCCGACGGCCCTTTCTGATAATAATAAACATCAATCACTAACTTTGACAAAGTTGATGTAATGATAGTAACATTGGAGCAATGTATCACTAATTGTGGAAGTGTATATTTCTGAATATGTAATACCTTCATTGTCTTTGGTTTCGTCAGAGTCGTCCTGCTTCAGACCAGAGCTGCCCTCTTCGTCACTGATTTTGTTCACTCTGACTTTAAGATCGAGCTGCAGACAGTAAGCACACGTGTCTCCTTCGCAGCACAGCTTCACACGGGCACTCAGGTCAGTGACGTCCACCGAGTTTGAATCCAAAAAAGTCCCATTTGTCAAAGAGCAGTCCACGAGATCCTAAACACAACCACCAACACCTTATACATGCCACAAGGTTAAGAAAGACTATTTCCTAAAAATGTATTGGTTTGACTCTTGTCGGGTAGACTTTCTGAAGACATTATGGAAGGGTTATGGTATAAATATAAGGATAATAATAATCTTGCGTTATCTGAACACACAAATATGCATCACCGTGTATGTCTTTCACTCCATACAGCGAGACTAACATACTGTACAGTTTTTAATAATGATTTTTTTGCACAAATGAAAACTTGTGACTTGCATCTCCACATAGCTGATGTCTTTTTCCTGGTGAGAGATTTCTTACATAGAAATTTTGATGTTTTCAAAGACCTTCCACAGTCTGGCATTTAACATTTTAATTATCTATTGAAGGTACCTAGGTTCCATGTATCTAGTTTGGGGAGGAAGGGGGCATTCAATTCCAACAGTCAGGTGACTGTTCATAATGTGTACACTTAAATAAATGGAATCCTTTTCCTCCTCCTTACATTTTAATCAACCTGAGTAGTACAGTACATTATTATTTTAAAAGATAAAACTAGACGATAACCTTCCGCAAAGTAAATTCTGCTGTATCAATTTTTAACCATGATAACTTGAATACATTTAGGGTTTAGGGATGTTTCCCCACAGTATTTAAAAAATTGCATTTGGACAAATCATTGATTGCATCTTTAAGACCTGGCGTTGTCCATATTTAGACCCAGGGCAAACATAGACGTTTCTTAGGTGGGACTCGATGTGTAAAGTTTGAGGACCTATGATTACTTTTTAAACTTTTCTCATATAGACAACATAATGCTTTATCTTTTTTAAGGTATTTACGAAAATTAGCAAATTGTATTACTTCTCACACTACTCGAACCATTGTGATTGTATGGCATGGACCCTGCCCTTTTACATTATATGACTGTATTATAAATCAGGATCACTGATACCTGAGAGCATGTAACTGCTCTGTCGTTTCTGGAAATGTCCAAAATGCAGAGCGTCAGAGTAGGAGTCAGTAAAAGAACATAAAGGATCCATCCAGGTGGAAACATTCTGCCCTCAGAGTAGGCTTCGAGTTCATGGCATTACTCTCCAAATATGTTGTCTTCCGTAGACTTGATTAGCAGGTTCTGTGGTGTATGCGTGTGGTCTCATAAAGTTGTTCATTAACCGCATTACAGCCAGGGGGGTTTTGTCACCTAGGAGAGAGAGAACCAATATTTAACAATCACATCATTTATGCAATATTGTGTTAAAAAAATTGACCCTTATCACTAATACCTTATTATATTAAAATAGATTGGACTAAACATGTCCTTCAGTGAATCAAAATGAACACTGAAATATGTACTGTATATTAAGAGAAACAACAACAAAATCATAATCATACTATTTCACTTAGAGAATCAAACATAGTAAATAATTTCAAAAGGAAATCCATGTTACTATATAGCAACATGGCAACCTCGTCACTCTAACAAGGGTTTTGTACGTCAAAAGTCTTACCTTTAACATGTCTCAAAACAGTCATGTCTCCAGTAATCTCGGTGAAAGCTCATTCAGAGTGAACCATGCCCCGGGTGACTCAAATATAAGTTGCTCCACATTCAACGATACAGTTCTCCCTCTTGAAATGCCCCACCCCTCTGTGTCCTGTTCATTCTTCTGTATGGGCCTGTAATGTACCGCTCTCACTGGGTGATTCAACTTGTTGGTCTGGTTCACTGGAAACATGACAACAATGTGGAAAGTTTCTACTCCTGTCCCTGGGTGAGCCTTTTCCTTACAGTGCAACACATTACACAGAATGAATGAAATAGACAGAAAACCGCTTACAACAGTGATCTAACATTAAGACACCAATGTAAATATACACAAACAACACGCACTCACACACACACACACACACACATTTTACATCTACAAATAAAGTATTATTGTCCCAAGTGAACCAGACTTGGTCCAGTTAATGTAACCCAGACCAACGAGTGTGAATGAGCTCTTCGAGGTGAATTCTGATTTCAGTGATGTTGCAGTTATTCATAAGATTTGTCAAGTTCATATTCAGTTCAGTGCTTGTTTTAGACGAAGCAAAGATTACAGAATTATTTAGAAAAAAATACTTATTTCTAAGTTCAGTGTATGGTCAAACTCAGGCACATTACAAATATCGCTCTGTCTTATTCTTCAGAGGCTGTCTGCCTTGCTAACCTGAAGTAGCCAGTGAGATCACTAACACAGGCTCACAGTGTCATCCAGCCAACTTCACCTCTGTCAATGTAGGCTTGCTATAGCTCACATGATTTCAGTTGTTGACTTAGTTTGACTTGTCACTTTACCAACATTTGTTTGTAATCGTGGCACAAAATTATGTATGGCTCTAATGTAGCTGGTGACAAAGCAAACATGTGTCATTCAGCCAACTTAAGCCCTGTCAAATATGAAGCAGTGTAGGCATGTTGTTTGGCTGGCCACCTAGATGGTCCTCTTAGTGAACAGTTTGGATACCTTTGGTTTAAATACTTTGTGTACACAGTAGTCAGAACTATTATTATGCATTTGGCTCATTTCCACTGAAGAAGTATTGTTGCAGCTGTTTATCTGGTTGGACCACTATGTTGTAATCTTCTGGCAAGAATTGATTGTATCTTATCTAAAGTGAAATGAAAACACTGACGAGCAGCTATACAACACCACAAAAATACATTTCAATTTGGAGAGACGAGAAAACAAGAAGCTTTTGAGTATTTTATTGGGAGGAGGTTTGGCGCCCTAGGCCCCGGTGCGGCCTTCAGATCGGAGGGGCTCCTGCGATGGAGCGTGCCAATCCCCCGGGACCTAGGCACTGGTGGCGGCATTTGGCAGCGGGAAGCAGATTGAAGGCAGATTGAAGGCAGGGTGAAGAGGAGGAGGAGGGGAGGCGGTGGTTGCAGGCTTCGAGAAGGCCGAGAGTGGGAGTTTCTCCGCTTTTAAGCGGCTTGCCTGGCCGGTACGGTGATTGGAAGGGGGCGTTTGCTGTGCGATAGGCTGGGGATGTGAACCGGCCTGGAGGGGTTAACTTTGGCTGACGTCTACCAAATTGAATTTCCGCGGGCTGCATTTCAATTTGGAGAGACGAGAAAACAAGAAGCTTTTGAGTATTTTATTGGGAGGAGGTTTGGCGCCCTAGGCCCCGGTGCGGCCTTCAGATCGGAGGGGCTCCTGCGATGGAGCGTGCCAATCCCCAAAAAGGCTGTGTGTTGATGGAGTTTTGCAGCCTGGTTTGGAGGGGACAGAACGTCGAGACTACTCTATGCTGTGACCGCTATCGCTATATACTGTGACCGCTATCGCTATATACTGTGACCGCTATCGCTATATACTGTGACCGCTATCGCTATATACTGTGACCGCTATCACTATATACTGTGACCGCTATCGCTATATACTGTGACCGCTATCGCTATATACTGTGACCGCTATCGCTATATACTGTGACCGCTATCACTATATACTCGGTCAGACCGAGCTATGACTATATTGCAAGCGCCTTTGCGTTTGGAATGCTTGAGGTGGGGGTTGAAGTAGTCGGGATAATATGACAGGTCAGAGAAGGCAATGTCTCGGGATGCATTTGAAGGTGGCGTGAGAGTTTGTGAATTCGCTTATGCGTAAGAAGCCCATTTTCATGTAGGATGCAGCGGAAGAGAGAAGGTGAAGAGACGGAGGGACTAGACCAGGGCGAGGGATTCCGTGCAGGGGATCTGGCATGGCGATGGATTGGCAGAAGGGCAGAGGCGTCAGAACTCCTGGAATTTAAAGCGAGAGAGAGAGTCAGCAAAACAGTTAGGTGACGAGGGACGTGACGAGCAGTGATGATAATTGTTCAGGACTGAGAGCCATGTGATGCGTCTAAGGAGGATGTGATTTGGGGAGAGGATGAACGACCTCTGTTAATTATTTCAATGACGTCGAGGTTGTCGCACGTCACGGAAATCCTTTTCCTATGCCACGTATGGTTCCGCAGCACGCAGGCTACGGTCACGGGATATATCTCGTGGAGCGCGGAGGAGATGCTTCGAGGGAAAGCGTCGGGCCGGGGCCCGGCGAACCACTGGTCCTGGAAAAACCCCCAAAACCCACGGACGGGGCTGCGTCCGTGAAGAACCGCGGGGCATCTGAGACAGGATGATGTCACTGTAAAAAGAGATACACCATCCCAGCGGCTCTGCAGACGGGACCGGAACGCCGGGTCGGAGCGGCGCCCCGCGTCCGGGCAGACAGCGTCATTGAGGGAGGAGACGGAGCCGGCGAGGGAGAGGAGTCTGGAATTAAAAGAACGACCTTGGGGAATGATACGGACGGCATAATGAAGATGCCCGAGGAGGGAGATCAAGGACGCCTCGAAGTGACGGGAAGGCCTAGGCAGACCGGGAGAAAGCGCGGATGCGTTTGAGCTCGTCCAGCGGGAGGGAGGCCTCCATGGCGCGTGTGTCGAGGCGGATGCCGAGAAACTCCAGAGCGTTGGCGGGGCCTGTGGTCTTTCCGGAGTGGAGGAATCCGAGGGCAGAGAAGGCGGGCCTGAGCTTGCGGAGAGAGCCCCCGGAGCAGTCTGAGGGTGGGTTGACTACGAGGGAATTATCAGGGAGATGCAGACAGAGGGGAGCCGCGCGTAATTAAGCAGAATCCGACACGGCGCCTCCGAGAGATTGTTGAACAGAGAGGGACTACTTCGGCAGTCAAAGGTGAGGCGCACTGCGAAGAAGAACTCCGACGCCACTTGACTCCTGAACAGCGCCAGTGGTCGGGGTGGATGGCAGCAGCTTGAACGCGTCCGGGATGACGGCCTTGGAGAGCCAGGAGCCGGGGCCGAAAGTCTTTATCAGCCTGATCGCGTGGTCCACGGTAGCGGACTGCAGGGAGAAGGGCGCTGGAGGGAAGGGGCTGTGGATGCTCGGGCGGGCCCGGAGCGGGGACAGGAGAGGACGAGTATGAGACGCTTCTTCCTGGAGTGCTTGCGGGTGGCGATGCCCATCGGGTTAGAGCGAGACGGAGAGAAGGGGCCAATGACGTAGCCCACGGACACCTCCCGCGCCCGAGCCGCGTGCCGACTTGGGGCTCACGGAGAGCCGGGAAGAGGTTGCGGGACACGAGACGCCGAGGGACCTAAACAGAGCTTGCAGTCTAATGTGAGGGATTTAAATAGAGCTTGCAGTCCAAAGTGAGGTATTAAACTGAGCCCGCAGTCCAAGTGAGGCGTTTAACGGAGAGCCTGCAGTCCGGTGCGAGGGAGTTAAACGACCTGTAGTCCGAGGTGAGGGATTAAACTGAGAGCTTGTAGTCCAGAGTGAGGGATTCAACATTGCCCGCAGTCCTAAAAGAGGGATTTATAACTGAGAGCTTGAAGTCCAAGTGAGGGATTAAACCGAGAGCTGCAGTCCAGTGTGAGGGATTTAAACAGGTTTTACGGTCCAAGTGAGGGATTAACAGAACCCGCAGTCCAAGTGAGGAGTTTAAACTGAAAGCCTACAGTCCAGTGTGAGGGATCCAACAGAGCCTGCAGTTTTGTTTTTGTTTTTGTTTTTTTTTTATATTTATTTATTTATTTATTTATTTATTTATTTATTTATTTATATTTATATTTATATTTATTTATATTTATTTATAGCTATTTATTTTTTATATATAAGCGTTCCAGATATGAGCAGTACCATATATGCAGTTCCAACATGAGCAGTTCCATATAAGCAGTTCCGTATATAAGCCGTTCCATATATAAGCAGTTCCATATATAAGCAGTTCCATATATAGCAGTCCCATATATAGCAGTCCCATATATAAGCAGTTCCGCATGAAGCAGTTCCAGGTACGGTATAACAGCTCCAGATATAAGCAGTTCCAGATATAAGCCGTTCCGTGAGGGATTAACCTGAGAGCTCGCAGTCCAATGTGAGGGATTCAATTTGGGAGCCGCAGTCCAGAGGGATTTAAACGGGGCTTGCAGTCCAAAGAGAGGGATTTAAACAGAGCTCGTAGTCCAGAGAGGGATTTAAAGAGAGCCTGCAGGCCAAAG